TGCTAACCAATGTCATAAAACAACATGTGTACTACTGTTTCATGAGAAACTATTTGTTCTGTAAGCCTTCACCTGAAGTACAATAAAAAAAAAAGTATAGCAACCTTACCTTCAAAACCAGGCTCCCCAGGTTGTCCCTTGGGTCCTGGGCTACCGGGAATTTCAAGTGTCTGGCCTAGATCTCCTGGGGATAACGAGATATCATTCAAATCATCAGGAGAAGCTATAGCTCATTTTGCACCAAAGGAAGCCTTTGAATGCAAAATCTTTTTAGACTCAATATGGCCAGAGGAACTCCTTGACAAAATTACCCATGGGGTAAGAGGTGACCAATCACCAACAAGATGCTGGGACACTTCCAGCTGATGAGCAAGACATGCTGGGAAACACTTCACTAGGCTCAGTACAGGCAGAGAAGATGATAGGAGGGGCCCTGAAACATCATCAGAATGTAACAGTGATGACAGCAAGGGTGGGAAATTTTCCTGCTCAGTGGGCTAGGTTCAGCAGGGAAAAAAAATTGTCTAGAGGCCAAGGTTCCCCCTTGCTGCTCAGACCGGAAGGCAGATGGGTCAATCCACACAGTCAAAGGACAGCCTTTTCCTTAGCTCCAAGAAAGCCACAGAGAGAGAGACAGCTTGGTAGGGATCACTGTTTGTTGCATCCTCTTTGAGGACCGAGGGCTGCAAAGGGGCTTTGGCCAAAGGGGAAATGTAAATTAATTCACTTTCCCCTAAACATACAGCCTCCCCTAAGAGAGCCCTGGGCCTGCTAGAAATTCACCTTGCTTTATAAAAACCACATTAAAATAGAAAATGTTCCTTACCTTTAGAACCTTTGAGACCAGCTACTCCTGGGAGTCCGGGAGCCCCATTAAGACCCTGTATACCCTTCAAAAGCAATATGGGAATCATCATTTCTGCCCAGAGCTCAGGGCTTCCCACCTTCCCGCTCACCCTCCCACTTCCCGAGCCACTGCCTGTGAGATGCATATTATGTACTTCGTAGCAGGGGTGGGGTGGAGGAGTATAGCTTGCAAACAAGAAGGCAATGAGCAAACGGCAGAGGCGCACACTTAGAGTTTTTAGGGGAGGGATTGGATCTGCAGATTAATCCTGGTCTTGTCATTCATAACTTCCCACTGCCCATGAAAATTGGAATCTTGGGAAATCAAGGTCTAGCTGCTCTAGTAGGTCTCTTAGAAAATACAGAGATTGACAGCCAGATCAAGCGCTTGGTGTGCTCCGCAGACAGTCTGCTACCACCTCCCCCGCCAAAGCTTTGGGGCCATTCTTCATGCACAAAAAGAAATGTTTCTCCACCACGCAGGGTTAGCCCTCCACTGCTGGTTCTGCAGGGAACCTGAGCTCTTTCTTATATGAGGTAGCAGGTGGTACATGTGCAGGTGCTGGAGTCTGAATTTGGGCTGTTAACCATTTTCACAGGAAAAACTACCTCCACTGGCTAATGTCCAACACAGTATCCGAGTCTGGAAAGTGAGCATGTCCGCTGCCATCAGCACAGTTCTTCCCCTGGTGTGGTTTTGACTAATTCTGAGATGCACCCAGTAAAGGCAAATGCCATGCAGTGCCATGGGCAGGAGTCTGGGTTCTGGGCTCCATCACTGTGCTCACTGGACCATGATTCCACCATCACTACCTAGGACACCTGCTCCCTTCCACCTGTTTCCCCTCCTGGTGTTTTCCTGCACATTACCGTACCTACTCCTAATTCTGAGCCTTGCTCATGCTAGGCAGTCCTCCCAGAATGCCTTCCCACCTTGCTTCCCCACTCCTAGTGTGCGGTAGTCAGGACCACCCAGTTTAGAACTATTTATTTGGCAACTGCATCAGGGGTGTGTGTGTGTGTGTGTGTGTGTGTGTGTGTCTGTGTGTGTGTCTGTGTGTGTGTGTTCTCTCCACCAAATGGACTGTTATTTCTGAAGGACAGGGACTTTGCCTGCAGGGGCAGTACAGGTGTTCTGTGACTCAGTTCATTTAGACGCTTCAACACTAATACTGTCATTGCCACAATATATCCAGAGCCTGTTATGGGCCAGGTACACTGCTAAGTGCTTTATATGTACCGTGTGAAGTAGGTTTGAATATTATTCCCAGTTTTTACAGATGAGAAAAGTGAGGCTCAGGAAGTTAAGCAACGTGCATACAATCACAGTGCTAATGAGTGATGGAGCTGAGATTCATACCCTGGTCTGTGTCCTTCTTAAACCCACTCTACCACCCTGCCTTTTAAGAGCTCAGAGAAATTGGACTTGATCCTTTGCCAGTTGTTGCTTCTCGTGAAGCTTCAAAGACCTTTCTGTCATTGTTGTGGGGCTGTTAACCACTGTCATAGGGCAATATGTGTACTAACTGTTTAATGAGAAACTATTTGTTCTGCAAACCTTCATCTAAAGTGAGAATAGCAGCACAACTGGAAGAACATAATCGACGTCACCGAATTGTGCATGTAGAAATTTTTGAAACTATGTATCTTTGGCTATGCATATTTTTACCAAAAAAAAAAAGGTTGGGAAGGGAGAGTGTTAACATGTAGTGGGGTTGTTAACCATTGTCATAGGGCAACATGTGTACTAACTGTTTAATGAGAAACTATTTGTTCTGCAAACCTTCATCTAAGGTACAAAAAAAAATCATTATCTATGTGACATCAAATTGACAACAGTAACTCAAAAGGTTTGATGGGAAGCCTAGGGGGCAGTGCGTTGAAGACAATGGTGATGGAATAATTTGGAAAAGGATAGTGAGAATAGCAGCACAACTGGAAGAATGTAATGGATGTCACTGAATTGTACACACAGAAACTTTTAATATGGTGTAACTTTGGCTATGTATATTTTCACCAAAAAAAAGGTCCTCCAAGGTCAAGAAGGGAGTGTTGACATGTCATGGGGTTGTTAACCAATGTCATAAAACAATATGTGTACTGACTGTTTAATGAGAAACTATTTGTTCTGTAAACCTTCATCTAAAGTACAATAAAAAAAATTAAAAATAAATAAATATATATTAAAAAAAAAAAAGACCTTTCTGTCAAAACATCAAGACATCTGTACTGAATTCTTATAATGTGCCCAACTCAATGTGGGATGCTGGCAGCGGGGCGCAGACAAGAAAGCATGTAAGGGGGTCCTTGTTCTCAAGCTCTACTGATCTTGCTGAGGAAATCAGACCCACACAGACCCAACTAGGATCGATATAGGCAGTGAGAAGTGTAGAAGGGCCAGCCTGGTAGGAGCTCAGCGGTTCCTGAGGAGATAGGGCCTGGGCTGGGCCTTAGGGATGGCAGGTATTAGGCAACTTTAGAGGAGGGAGGAAGCCCTGCCTGTGGAGGAGATAGCATGAACAAAGGCACAGAAGAGGGGATGCTCAGAAAAGGGTGAGAAGACCCATCAGACTCAAGGAGAGGGAGTTGTCTGAGGACATCTTGGGGGAAGGGGCTGGGAAGTAGGCTGGTATCAGAAAGGTTGTCAAAAGGGGCATTTCCTCCTGCTGTGGGAAGCCCTTCCCTGGTGGAGAGACAAAGAGCTGGGCACACTTACAGTTTCTCCAGGCATTCCCGGGAAGCCTCTGATCCCAGAGGCCCCCTTCAGGCCAGGCAAGCCCCATAGTCCCAAGGAGCCAGAGGGGCCTGGCCTTCCAATAAGTCCTTTGATAGAGCTAGGGAATCCGGGAGCTCCAGGGAGGCCTGGTGGTCCAGGGCGGCCAGCGTCTCCTTTGTCACCTGTAAAAGAAGCAAAAGGGTTTGGAAATAGATTACGGGAAAGAGAAAACCTGCTTGCCAAGGTGCAGGTCCCCAGAGTCACAGGCACGATACAGGCTTGGGAGCAGGTGGAGGTGGGGGTTGGGGAGGGGCCTTCAGCCTTAGGGGGCACCACTCAGGCAACCCAGCTCCAGCAGTGGGAAAGCTGCTCAGTGCTCACATCCCACTACCTGTCGGGCTCCTCCGGGGTTGCCATAGCCTGTGGGTCAAAAACTTAGTTCCCCAGCGGCAATGACAAATGGCAGTCTCAAAGTCCAGGCACCCCTCAAGCCCAGGGAAGGCAGCCTCCTTGCATCCCCTGCTGCCACCCACTGCTGCTCTGAGGGGCCTTGTAATGGAGGACTTCTCTCAGGAAGGAAGTCAAGTTGGGTCATAAAACCTTTCTTGGGCTTTTCTCCTGCCCATTCCCTGTCCCAGCACCTCTGGGCCCTGGAAATCCGTCTGATCCAGCTGAGCCTGGGGAGCCCTTGTCTCCTTTGAACAAAAGATTCAGCATTGGGAGTCTTGGGCCGGGTTGTCCGACTGGCCCTGGATTGCCTCTGTCCCCTGCAGGGATGGAGATCATGAGATCAGGGTAAGAGAGCTTAGACATAGGGTCAGGCATGGGCTGACCTAGCATATCAGTTCTTCCCACACCAGAACCAGGCCCACTTTCTGGGCCCTTCCATGTTCTTCCCCACTCCCATTCTCCCAACATTGCATTTCTATTTATGCCCTCTCCCTCTACAAGCCCAAAGTCTATCAGCAACTTTTGAACATACTCAAAACTCTCCTCCCATGATCATAGGCAAATGTATAAGCAAGGCCTCTAACATGCAGTGTTAAGTGATTACGTCTTTTAGTTTCAAAGGACATAATTCAGAAGCCCAAAATCTTATGATCTAACACAAGGTTGGTTTAAGCCACAGGAATGACAAAGTCCATAAACAAAATGTACCTTTGGAAGTGTGGGTGGTAGTTCTAGAATTCAATTCCCCAGCTCACCTTTTTCACCAGGGCTACCAGCAGGTCCAGATGTTCCAATTCTTCCTGCTGACCCAGGGACTCCCTTTAATCCACTTGTACCAGGAATACCAGGGAGACCTGGTATCCCTGGAAAACCTGTAAGTCCAACAGACCCCTTCTCACCTGTTGAAAAACAAGAACTTCTATTATTATCCCTGTTTTATGTACAAGGATACTGAGGCTCAGAAAAGTTAAATAACTTACCCAAGGTCACACATCTAGGAAGTTGCAGAGAAGGGATTTAAACCCAGGTTTCTCTAACGCCAAGGCTCACGCTCTTAGTTATTATACATTATGCTACTTCCCTGGGCATGGCATTAAGGAACACAGGAGGTGGGCACCTGTCTTAAGATTCACCAAGTTTAGAGCTCATATGTGGTACAGAAAAAAAAAAAACCTAGGGCCAGGAGGCAGGGAGCTGAGCTCTAGTTCTGACTCTGCTGCTAACCAGTTGTGTGTCCTTGGATCAGCCACACTTTATGGAGAAGCCACCTGCCCAACCTCTGACGGATATCAGAGCAATCACAGGAAGTGAGAGCTACCAAGTTCCATGGTAGAGGTTGTGCAAGTAAGTAAACCCAGTGTGGCTGTTACTGTCCTGGGCTTTACCGACCGTGATATTTGGCCCAGTGTTCTACCCAGCAGGCAGTGAGGGTGATTCACCTTGGCTGGAGATCCTTCTTTACACTAGCCTTGTCTAAAGAACTTGCCACCAAAAGCCCTGCCCATCTCCCTCCCCATTCTCCCATTCCTTGGCAGAGAGGGAGGGACAAGTGGACAGCTTGGATGCTCCTTGGTGGCACTCACTGGTGCCTTGGTGATCACTTCACTTACCCTTTGGGCCTGGGAGGCCTGGCAACCCTGTGGCCCCTGGCAAGCCTGGGCTCCCCGGGAAGCCTATTAGCCCTGCAGATCCAGGAAGGCCTTTGAACCCAGGCAGACCTCTCTTTCCAGTTGATCCCGGGAGACCTGCTTCACCTCTTGAGCCTTTGTTTCCAAGATGTCCTGAATCAGCACAGGAGAGAACACAGGACAGCTGTCAAGTGAGGCTCTGGCTCAATCTGGGCCACTGCCCGTTCCCATGGCTTTTCGTTGGTTGGCTTGTTGGGTTTCGTAAATGGCCCTTTAACATTGGCATATGCAGTCTGCTAATAGGCAGAGTTCTTAGTCAGCTGAAGCATTAGCACCTACCACCCAGAGCACCACGCCAATGGCTATTACCTCCAGCATGGCACAGTAGCTGGCAGGGAGAGCAAACCCCTTCTGATTACACTTCTTCACCCTCTATGAATGTGGTTCACACTTTAGCCTCTGAATGGGGCTCTGGGAAGCCAGGGTGGCAACTGAGCTCCAGTTTCCTAGTACTTCCTGTCTGAATCATCCCACAATGGCTGTTTCCTGAGCCAATCGGTGAAGGAGAGGTTAAAGCTGAGCTGTTGTTTCAGCTTCCCAGGGAGCCATGGATTCAGGGCTGCCCTTTTAATCCCTCATGCAAGCAGTTAAATCAGGCAGTTCCTTGGCATTAAGGTTGAAAGACCCCCTAGTGCCAAATACTGTAGAAATCCCCAAGGCCCATTTGGTCTCCTAGGTATTCGGAGACTTTAACCATGCTTTAAACTGGTCAAGGGGATTAACCTCCTGAGCTGCTGCCAAAGTGGAATGTTCAGGTACAAAGCAAGGAAATTAAAAAACCAAAGGATTAAATCAATGACGACAGAGGTATTTGGGCCCCCAAGGGCCTAAATGAATGGCTGACTTGGCTTTCTAAGGATTGAAAAGCATCAAGTAGCTGCAAGCCCCAGGATTCGAATGGAAGGCTGTGAAGAGGATCCCGCTACAAGGGAAGGAAATTCAATAGGAGCTAACCCCAGTGCGTGAGTTCAGGGATCCCTGGCCTTGCAGGCCACACCAGGTTATAGTGTATAGTCAGATAATTCACTGAGCGGCAAAGCTGGCGAGGGTGTTAGTCTGTGAGCTTGTGTGCTGTGTTTTCTCACCTGGACAGCCTATGTGAACACCCCAGAAACATAGAAGAAGGACAAAGGGGAGAAAAAGGATATTAGTGGCTCTGCAAATAACTCAACTTCAGTCACTCGGCCAGGAGTAAGGGGAGGAGGGGTAATGTAGTCACCGAGGTAGGGTGAAGAGGGTGGTGCTAGAAAAAGGCAAGCTGCGAACACTAGGCTGGAACCAGGGTGTGGCAGGCCCCACTGCTGAGTGAAAGACACTTTGGCCATGGATCCTCAGGGGCATGCTCATCTGAGAGGCAGTGGCCAGAGCAGTCACACTCTGCTCAAGCTCCTCCTCCATCCCAAAGCAGGCTCCCCACTGCCCCAGTGAAGGCAATGGAGACTGGGCTAGACCTACCTCAACAACAAGGCTGACTTCTCTAACTAGGGAAGGCAGGGGAGAGGCTGAAGCATGAAAAGGGGACATGAGGATATGGGGGAGGGAAAAAAACAAAGCAAATCAGTCACCATCGAGTCCATTCGGACTCATGGAAACCCCATGTATTGCAGAGTAGAACTGTGCCCCATAGGGTTTTCATGGCTGTGACCTTTCAGAAGCAGACTGTCAGGGCTTTCTTTCTTCCAAGGCACTTCTGGGTAGGTCTGAACCACCAACCTTTCTGTTTACAGCCAAGCGCTCAACTGTTTGCACCACCCAGGGAGTCCTTATTGGGGGGTGGGGATAATTTGTTATAATATTGCGGGAGCTAAACTGCAGAAGTCTGCTCTGCTTGGCACTGCAAGGGTGACTTGAAACTTGAGAGATTAGGAAAGTCAAGTCTCATTTCAATTCTGACCCTGCCGCACTGCTGCTATTGCCCTTCAGGGCACCTGAACCCAGAGCTGAGCTGCAGTCTGTCAAGCTGGTGCTCCTTCTCCAAAGGACCTACCTGTCAAGCCTGGAAAGCCTGCTATTCCTGGGAGACCAGGTTTTCCCTTGATGCCAAACAGGCCACCTGGCCCTGGGGGGCCTGGCTGCCCCATTCGTCCTGGTGCTCCAGGGCTGCCCCGCTCACCTTTGGTGCCCAGCAAGCCGGACTTCCCAAGAAAACCTAGTGAAAGGAAAGGGCAGACGATCACAGCCTAGACTGATAGTAGAGACCAGGTCACCAAATCAACTTCCAGAGGAAGAGCTTGGCTCAGGACTCATCCCAGGTGCTACTATTTTCTCAGCAACATCCTTGTTGTTATTCCTGGCAGTGAACCAAAGGCTTTGCAAGAAATCATGGTCACTCCTGGAATTATGAAGATAGGAAAATGGACTCACGCCACTTAAGGAAATTTCCAAAAAAAGGAGGGACAGAACAAAATGGTATTTTATTTTAACCCCCTAAGTAGTCCATCACCCCAGAAGCCCCGATTCATGCAAGTATACCAGTTACTGAAAGGTTTTTCGGTAGATTGTTAGATAAGAGTCACCCTTGGGTCCTGGAAAGCCAGAGTCTCCAGGAAATCCTCTGTCCCCTGGCAATCCCTGGAGGCCATGCTCTCCTGGAGCACCATTTTCAGCACCAAAGATGTCACCAGGGGCTCCCTTGGGACCTGGTAAACCTGGACTGCCAACATTCCCAGGCAAGCCATCTTTTCCAGGGAGCCCAGGAAACCCAGGCAAGCCCTTCTCCCCACGAGGTCCAGGAAATCCTAAATGTAAAGAGGCAAAAAATAAAGGCCATGGATGTTTAGAAGCAATTTGTCTGGGTAGAGATCCCCGAGACAGATTTTTCTATATGAAGCTAACATATTAATAACGTGTCACTTCTCTCGAAGATCAGGAATCTCTGGTCCTAGGAAGACTAATCCTGAGGCAGGGACTGCACCATGTGACCTGGAGGAGGTTCTGTTTCAGTGAATTCTGGCCCTTGGGCAGAGCTCAGCAACCTGCTCCTGGGGCTCGTACAGTTGCTACGGAGCACAGGCTACACCTGAGACCTCCTGGCAAGAGCCCCAACCTCTTCTGGAGTTGTCTAACTCCTGCTGGGATTCCTCCCCCTCCCTGGGTGGGGGAGGAACTGAGGCACCAATAAACCCCAAGAGCCCATGGCCCAAGATGAGCCCATGCTGTAAGGGCACTGGTGGTTCTTCAATTTGAGCATCATTAGAATCACCTGGGGTGGGGAACCCATGTTAAAACACAGATTGCAGGGCCCCACCTCCTTTGTTTCTGATCAGTAGGTCTTGGAGAGGGGCCAAGAATTTGTATCTCTAACAAGTTTCCAGGTGCTGTCGAAGCTGCTGGCCCAGGCACCACACTGACAACCACTGGTGTCGTGTTAAACAACGAAGCACGGGTTGGAACAGGGTATAAGAAAAGGGATAGAAATGGACAACTTTCCTCTAACTGATCTGAATCTCTTTCTCCTGCCTTTAAAGAGTTGATTCAGGAAACTGCCATAGAACTGGCAGTCAAATGACCTGGCTCTTAGTCCTAGCTTGGTCACTAGTGATCGAGCTTTGTGATCTCAGGCAAGTCATTTTCCACCTGGGTCTGAGTTTCCTCATCTGAAAGTGAATGGGTTGTCCCAGTTGATCTCCAAGGGCCCTTACGGCTCTGATATGCTATCATTCTATGGCTCTAAACTCTGTCTTGCCTGGGTATGAAATCAAACCTTCACACCCACACCAGAGAGCAAACCTAGCTTCCTGTAATTGGCGAAGGGCTACCACAATCCAAACACACACTCACACAAAAGGAGAAGCTCCTTTCCTTACCTGGCAATTCAGGGAGATGAACTAATCCAGCACTTCCGGACTCTCCTTTAGCTCCCCGTACTCCAGGCTGGCCTGGAGTCCCAGGGTAGCCACGGATCCCTTTAGGGCCTGAAAACCCAAATGTAAGTGGTGAGGGGAAAGGAAAGTCAGTGTGGTTAGGTACGACATCTGATGTTCAGTCAAGACTCCTAGTCTTTTGGAGGGTCTCTCCTATCCTTACCTCCTAACACTGCCCTCTCCAGCAGCCATTCTATTGCCTCAATGCCCCAAGGCTGCCTGCTCAGGAAGAATGTGGATACCCAAATGCTGCTGGGCTGCACTCTGCTTCCTTAGGCCCACAGCTCTTATAGCTGTGCTCAGTGGCTTTCTCTGGCCCCATTACATACCTGGGACTCCAGGAGCTCCTGGGAGGCCTGGTGGACCATATGACCCAGTAATAATACACGGCAATGTGATTCCTGTAAACGGTAACATGTAAGTATCTGGTGAATGCACTGAGTCAAGGGAGATTCCCCCCTAACATACTCCTTAACTCCCACCCCATTCCACTTTATGGAATGACCACGTTCTCCTCCCATCCAGTAGCTGGCAGCCCACGCCGAACAATGGTGGCATCAGAAACTCTTGGGAGTTACTCCTAGAGTGCAACTGTTTACAGATGCAAATGTTCTTAGTGTCCAAGCGCCAAGATCTTCCTTCCCAAACCATCGGTGCCTAGCGGACAGCCACTTACACAGCAGCTGTTACCTAACAAGGTTTCCTAGAGGTAGCCTACGCAGGAATAGCAGCAAATGGCAACTGACTACTCACCCTGCCCTCAGACAGAGCTTCTCCCTAGGGTGGGTGCTTGGGGTTAGTCCTAAGGGTCTATTATACCCACACGACTAAATTGGAGGGTTTGAAGTCAAGACTCCTCAGGTTTACATGTCTGCCCTTTTCTTGAAATGAGGCTTTTCCCAAACCATTGAGTTTTTTTGACACCTCATGTGGGATCTACTGAGACCTATTTAATGTCTTTGGTCAGATGAACATATATGTCTGTACCAGGTGAACACTGAAGTTCACTCTCTTGTCCATGTCAGACAAACCAAGACCCTTCCTTCAGCTCCTCATTTGAAACTGTCAGCTCTGTTACTCAGGGAAAAGGGGCAGTCACTTTTAATATTCAAGACTTTGAAACAGACATGCATAGCCTTTCCCCTAGCAAATTCTTTCTTGCTCATTCATAATGCAAATAAAAAGAGTCTATAAGATCACAGAGGGGAGGCTTAATAAAATACTGGTGAACAAATTGTTTGTTGGCTCCCTCAAGTGCCGTTTACAAACAATTGCTATGCTAATTAAAATTAAGTCTTGCCTGTTCATTAAAACAATCCCCCAAGGCCTGCTTTTAAGCCACAGAGCCAACAGTTGTAATAAACTGCTATAGCTTTTTGCCTGTACTTAAAATAAATCACCAATTGCATTCCTTAAAGCTATGTATACAACCTATGATTCAGACTACTTACTCAACTGGCTGGCACTCACGCTCCAACCCCACTTTTCTTTGCAAATACAAAGGCTTTATGGCAGTTTTAGCCCACTCATACTATTTCTAAATCAAGATTGGCAATTGAACAGCATAATGTAATTGTTATGAGGGCGGGCACTGAGTTTGTATCCTAGTTCTGCTACTAAATAGCTGTGTGGGCAAGATACTTAACTTCTCTGAACCTCACGTGTAAAATGGGAACTACCTACCTTATCTGGTGTTTGTGTGGATTACATGAAATACTGCTAATAGCACTTAGCGCAGTGCCTGGCACCCTGGTAAGTGCTCAATGAATAATAGTTCTTATTATCTTACTTGAGGAGTATTCAAAAGAGCTAATGCAAGGCTATCCCCTAGCTTCTAACTCGGTCACTTTATAGCCTGAGCAGCAACTTTCTGCCTTATATACCTTAGGTTTCTATAGTCATGTTTCCACAGGGGGAGAGATTGCCCCAGGCCTGGATCCTCCTCAATAGGTGGTCACAACCAACTCCATCCCAACAGATATTGAGATGACTGAGTTATTTTTTGAGGGTAAGGTCTATGGGTGAGCACCTCATGGTAAGATGCTTCACTGGGAGAGGGCTCCTAACCCTGTGCTCGACTCCACCTGGGGTTCTTTGAACTAGGCTGAAGAACTGCCTCCATAAATGGTACCATGAAAGGGACCCTACATAAGACTCTTCTGCTCTCAAGTATCTCAACAGCTCATTGGCTCCCATGTGTCAATCTCCACCACTGCAGTTCCATTAAACCAAGAAATGGGTTAAATATATATATATCTGGGCTGGGTCCAAACATGAAACCATCCATCCTAAACTTGTCAGATCAGTTTAATAGATTATTTTCATCTGTGACAGCCAGATAAAAACAAAGCCTTTAGAGGATGGTGCCAATGACAGGCATTTGGAAAGGCTCCAGAACAAGAAAAATGATGATAAAAGGGAAGATGAGTAGAAACTAGAGGGAATAAAAGACATGCTTCCCTTCATAATTTTGCTGCAGGCTAGTCCTGTACACCACACCAAATTTGTGTATTGCAAGCTGAGGGTCAAAATGGCAAAAAGGTAAAAACGTCAAATCCTACTGCTATTTAGCTCTTTTACGTTACATCCCTGGATTCAGAGCCTTCTCAACAAAGCAGAGATCAGCTCTACCCATGCTCTGTTTTGGAAGTGTAATAAATAACCTAATTATTCCGAATTTCCCATTAATGCAAAAATTCATCTTCAGAATAAAAAGGTTCTTTGGTTATCAAGATTCTGACATCTCCATTTGCTCTGGATCCAGTGACTAAAGATCAGACACGTATGGATCTTTCCAGGTACCTCCCAAAGCAAGTTATGGCCCCAGTGAAGTTTGGAAAATGAAGGTGCTTAAAGTAGAGATCAGCCAAGCCAGTAACATGCATGGTGAAGGCAATCGACCACTCTCAGAGGCTGCATGCCCACTTACTCCTGCACTTCCCCCAGGAGATATGTGTCAAAGAGTCTCTAAAGCAGTGTCAGTGTTAGTCTTTGCACCACAGGCTCAGGACCACTCCTCCCCAACCAGGGTCTCTAGAGTGGTGCTCAGGCCATTATGAGTGTCTGAGACAATGGTGAACAAAAAGGGGGGGGTGCTAACACTGGTGTCTGAGAACCTCTAGACCTAGCTAGCTCTCACCTCCCTCTGTGTCTACGACTCCTTTACCAACCTTCTCCCTGCAGCAGCAGTCACCTAGACCAAGCAAGTAAAGAAGAAAATTAAACCAGGACAGAAGTTCCTTGAAGACCCTTGGGCCCAGATAATGTCCACCAATCAAATTCTCTGTGGACCGAGTGGAGAGGGCTAGAACCCACACAAGATCAAGCACACAGTAGCTGCTTCAGTAATAACCAGGATGATTGATTACTACCAGCATCTGGAGCAGAACCTCTTTGGAAACAGCCAGTTGTCTGCTTGTCCAGGGTTTGTAATATTTCACAATATGAGGTTGAAAGGCTTCTAATGATTACATTGGCAATGCAGCTGTCTTAGCCTAGCCTGGGCCACCAGTGGTTGGCATGGGTACATTTAGGAATAGCATCTTAATTTTTCATGGCAACAGCAATGAATACAATGCAAATGTCTGGGGCCCACAGGTTATTTGTTTTTAAAATTATGTGGAAAGAAAGCTAAGTTTGAGGGGATACATTTGGTTGTAGCATAGAGCAATAGAAAGCTCATGCTTTTAATTAAAATAATTTTTTGAAATTCTTGGTACTGCAACAAGAATATTTCTGGCACAAGTCATCTCCTAGGCTTTAGCTTACTATGTCACTATATTCCTAAGAACTTTCTGTGCCCAAGGACTAGTGAAGTTTGGGGTAGAAATGGTCCCATGACCTCCCGTCTGTGGACTCAGCCTGTTTTCAAGCAGTTGGAATGTTGATAACATCCAGAAGATTTAGGGTGTGTGTAAGTTTATAGGCACCATATTATTATAATTCAGTTGAAAACTTCGTTGCCTACGAAATAGGTTGACCTAGAGTGATGACCCAATTGATGGAGGGGCACTAGGCATGACCATGAGTAACATCTCTAGGAAGAGAACTTGGAAGCAAAGCTATAGTGGTCACCAGGACTTCCAAAGGGCAGAATGATTTCATTTGATAAAATTCCTCACAGCCCTGATAGAAATATGTGAAATGAAATACTGACTTGGTTTTAAGAATCTTGAATCATAAAAATTTTAACCTGTACCATCATCCTTATTGCACTAATTCACAATAAATAGATTTTAAAACATATAAAATTTTACAAGACCTAATATCCTGTCTTTTTTTTTTTTTAAACCCTTCAAGGTAGAAAGTGGAGAAATGGATCTATGAAATAGTCCCCTGGTTATTGGGAAAGTCCTTTCTTCTGCAAATATATATGTCTCTCATGGAACATTTCATTATGCTAGGCATGTTGAGAAACACTGTGAGGTATTACTCACCTTCTCTGCTATCCAGAGGTTTACAATGTAGTTGGGAAAAGTCAAAGCATTAATGGAAGGAAATATATAATTACCTGGCAATAACATACTGTGGAGGTCAAAGAAAGGCTTAATGGAAGAAGTGGAACTTATGTTGAACCCTGAAGGATGAATAGGATGTGACTACATGCAGAAAAGAGGAAGGCCGTTCCAGAAAAAGACAACATGGCCAAAATATTGGAGTTGGAAATGTGTTTGGGGACAGTGAAGACTGATGTGATACATTTTTTTTTAATCATAAAGCATACATGATATGGTTGGAAAGGTTGGTTGCACCCATGTTTGGAGACATTTGCATTCCAGGCTAAGGAGTTTGGACATTATCCTCTACAAACTGGAGACCACTGGGGGCTTTGGATTAGGGGAGTAACAGGATGAAAACTGATACTTCACAGATATTAAATCGGCAGTAATATGTATAGTAGAATTGAGTGGGAGAAAGTCTGGATGTAAGAGATGAGAAACTACTTAGGAAGCTGTCATTCGCTCACTTATCCATCCATCCAAACATCCATTTATTCCGACAAGCATATAGGCATTTGATAAGCTAGGCATGAGATAATGAGAGTTTAGGAGCAAGAAGAGGAAAGGAAGAATACGAGGCATTGCAATGGAAGAATAAGAAATCTCAAGTTTTCCGACTTTAGATGACTAGAAGTGTGACACCACTAAACATAGAAGTTGGGATGAAGAACTGTTCTGGTTGTATGAAAGAAGATGAGTCATTAGCACAGCACCTTCACAACCTATAAGCAGGATCATCACACATTATAAATCCTGATATTCAAGTAGAATAAGAAGTTATAGAAAAGGGGGGATTTAAGGTATCAAATGGGGTTAGACTAGCTACAACTAGGGTCTCTTCCCATTCTGACACTCCATGAACTGAGGAAGGGTTCCTTCCTGATGGAATGATATCACCATACAACTCAGAGGACACCTTGCTCAATCTCCCACTCATTAGTTTCATGGCATTCATAGTAAATGGTCACCCAGCTTCTGCTTGAACTCTTCCAGTAATCATGAGCTCCCAAGGCAGCCTGTTACATTTTCATACAGCTCTGTTAGGAAGTTCTTCACTAAGTAGAGTTGAAATCTATATTGTTCTGCCCACAAAGCTTACCCCAATACAATATGATCTTTTTTCCACACGACAACCTTGAAGAAAATTGACAGTAGTGATTATAGCCAGCTAAATCGCTTCTTATGACATTTCACGTGCTTGGGTCATAGCTACATCTTACAAGAGGCCAGTTTTCCAAGTCCAAAGACATCTGATTCTCTGACTCACCTGGAAGCCCAGGAAGACCTTGTTCTCCTGGTAATCCATCTATTCCTTGGTCTCCAGGAAGTCCCCGAGGTCCAGGAGATCCTGGCAGCCCAATTCCTGGGGTGCCAGGTGGACCATGCTGGCCTTTTTTACCAGGAAGTCCTGGGAACCCTTTTTCTCCAGCAAAGCCCTGTCTAGCATCACCCTAGACAATATACAAAAAAGAATGAATACCCAACTCAGAGACTTATCTTGAGAGTCCTCTGACCATAGAAAAGAGGTAACCAGTGTGACCAATGCTTTGTTTTTTCTTAAAATTCTTTATCACTCTAGTGTATCAATCAACCTCCTCTGAGTTTAGTTAGTACAAAATAAGCCTTGTCATCCTGGGGTGATCTGATGATGCAAAAGGTTCTAGATCTGGAGGGAAAGAAACAGGATAACAGCAACTGTTGAGGTCACAGAGAGTAGCTGGATTACTTGAAGGGGAAAGCCAAGGAGAAGCTGAAGCATTTTAAGTGTTATGGTCAATTGTTACTAGCATATATCAAATGAGACAATGACCCAGTCTGAGAAAATGATTCCCATTTTACATAAAGAAAAAGCACAGAGCAAAAAGTGCGCTGGGTGCCTCAGTGAATCAGTGGCAGAGGCAGGAAGAGACCCTTCAGGACTGGCTCTATTCTGCCCTGTGTCATGGGCCATTGGCCATCAGAACCCCTAAATCAGGTGCGAGGATTTATAGGCATGATTAACTTACCGGAGGGCCTGGCAGACCTGGTAAACCTGGTACTCCGTCCTTGCCTGGGACTCCTGTCTCACCAGGGAGCCCCTGGGGGCCATCATCACCCCGCTCTCCTGGCATCCCTGATCTTGTACTGAGAGTCGGTTCTCCCTTCTCTCCTTTGGGGCCTGCAGGACCGGTAGGCCCAAATAAACCCTGACAAAGAGACAAAAGGGAATATTCAGGAGATACAGATTTCATAGAATTCTGGCACCTAATATAAGGTCTGACCTAAGGCAGGTCCTTGGATACATTTTGACACTACTCTGGGCACTTTATTATGTTGCCATCTTGGATTATAATTGCCGAGTTATTTACTGTAACCTTTCTAAATTTTGAGTTCTTTGAAGACAGGAACCTAGTTTTGTTTTGTTTTTTTTTAAATTGTGCTTTGGGGGAAAAGTTTTCAGTGCATATTAGTTTCTCATTCAAAAATTTATACACAAATTGTTTTGTGACATTGGTTGCAATCCCCACAATGTGCCAGCACTCTCCCCCTTTCCACCCCAGGTTCCCCATGTCCATTTGTCCAGTTTTCCTGCCCCTTCCTGCCTTCTCATCTTTGCTTTTGGGCAGGTGTTGTCCATTTGGTCTCGTATACTTGATTGAGCTAAAAAGCACGTTCCTCACATGTGTTATTGTGTGTTTTATAGGCCTGTCTAATCTTTGGCTGAAAGGTGGACTTTGGGAGTGGCTTCAGTTCTGAGTTAGCAGGGTGTCCAGGGGCCATAGTCTTGGGAGTTCCTCCAGTAGGAGCCTAGTCTTAATCCCAATTTTATCTTCAGGGTCCAACACAGTGCTAGGTAAATGTAAACAATATATATTTTGTGGGGAGAAGGAAAGGAGGGAGAAAAGGATGGAGGTAGGTAGGTTAAAGTAGAAATGGACTTTAGGGAACATCTAGACAGACCTCTTCCTATTACAGATCGAAAAGCTGAAGCTCTGTTTTAGCTCTTTTTATGTAAGTGAGTCCTGGTGGTGCAGTGGTTAAAACACTGGGTTGGTAACCAAAAGGTTGGCGGTTTGAACCCACTAGCCGCTCTGTGGGAGAAAGATGTGGCAGTCTGCTTCCGTAAAGATTCACAACCTTGGGGCAGATCTACTCCGTCCTATAGGGTTGCTATGAGTTGGAATTGACTCAACGACAGTGGGTTTGGTTTTTCGGTTTTTTTTTTTTTTTTTTTAAATGTGCTTTAGAAAAGTGGTCAGTGAAGCATGAGAGGTACTTGAAAGCCCCTATTGCTCCCTCAGGGCCAAAGCTGGGCAAGACTTACTGGAGCCCCGACTGGGCCCTCTGCACCCTCAGAGCCTGTAATCCCTCGGGTTCCTTTGAGGCCTGGAAGACCCATGAGACCTGGTGGCCCAGGCAAGCCTGGTTCCCCAGGTGATCCAGTGTTAGGGACACCACCATCACAAGCACAAAAACCCGAGTCCCCTGGAGGAAAAGAAAAAAGATCATGAAACAAAGCAGGTCATCTTTCCAAGAAAAAGGAAGACCTGATAGTAGTAATCTGTGACTTAGACAACTAACTCCATGGAGGGAATCAAAAAGTGGTCAGAGAAGAAATTCAAATGAACTAGGTTCGCTATCCATCCAAGTATGTCTATACTAGCAATTCTGATTGCATTAGTCTGGGGTGGGGCTCGACCATCAGTGAGTACGATGTGCAGCCAGACTTGAGAACCACTGGCCTACACTAAACCAACTGAGGGTCTGGAATTCAAACCACTCAAAACGTTTCTCTTCACCAAAATGTCTTTTCCCCCTGAATTTTGTACACAGGAGACAACTGCCAAATAAACTGATGGGGATTTCAGAAAAGCACCTTTAAAGAAGTGTTGAGGAGTCACTAGCACTACATCCCAACCACCTACACCTTTTACACCTATGGTCTAGGAAATGAGAACTGGTGCCCACACTGGTACCTCTGAGATACCCTCAGGCCTCTTCTTTTAGAAATTGATACTCCCTGAAACTCGGAGAGAACAGTCTGTTCTCCAGATTAGCATTTCCCAAAGTGTGATCCATCAGCTGTGATGCTTGTTTACAAGGCAGATGGCTGGGCCCCTCCCAGTCCTCATCAATCAGACTCTTGGGAGGCCAGACTCAAGAATCTGATTTTTAGTAATTTTCCCTAGGTAATTCTCCTGTAAAATGAAGCATGGGAATACCTTACTCTAGACTTTGGGGAAACTTTCTGGCCTAATGGAAATATAGAAAGGGAGCATTAGAGTTGCCCCTGTTTTAGGAGTGAAAATGGTATGGAGAAATACACCAACTCTGTAGTGAGTCAGGAAAGGGCCAAGATGAACATACTAAAGTCCAGACTTGCAATTTAATGGTCTTTCCCCTCAAAAAGTCATCCTTGGATCTGAACTGCAGAGACTGAGCTTTCAGAAACTTCTAAACTAGCTCTGGTACTTAAGTAGTGAAATTTTATGACAAGATAATGAGAAAGGAGTGGAGTAAGGTAGGACTTCTCTGTTTGGGGCTGAGGAAAAGCTGTTAATTCCTTAAGGGAAGAGGAGAGATCTCAAATACCTGAAACCCCAAGCCCATTCCCCAAACCTCTCTTCAGCTAGTAGGTCCCCCTCTTCCTCCACCCTGGCCTGGGCTGCAACCATAATGAATTATCTGAGCTTTAGCATCTTCCCCTCAAAGTAATGAATGGGGATATGACCCAAAGGTAGCAAGAAGATGGAGAGAAGCAGTGCAGCCGAGGGCTTAGGTAATCAATCAGTCCTTCCATGTCAGTGGGGACTGGAATTGTTTTCCTGCAGCTGGCTGGCTATTTTGCAGTGCCAGGTCTTGACCTGTTCAGAGCCCTTTTCTTTAGGCTGAAATAATGATTAGTGACTTCGGACCTTGGCCTTGCAAACTGGAAGGAGTTGGAGCTTCTCCTTTCTCAGGCCCTGGTTTGCCAACACTGGCTTCTGCAGGTCGACGGGGTAGGAAGAGCAGCCTGCAAACCATTTTTCCTAGTGACTTCAATTGCCAGCCTCAGTCTTAAGGCCCTTAATACAGTACTTGCAATAATCCTATATCAAATCCCCAATCAAGATCCAAGATTGCTTTTGTTCAGGTTCCCAAGGCTTTTGTTTGCTCATAAAGCCTTCTCTGAGGAGTTTGGGGAACAAAGAAACCCAAGGGGACAAAATCACCTTTTACTCCTTTGAGGCCTGGGTTTCCTTTTGGACCTCTTTTTCCTTGGAGGCCAGGGAACCCTGGTTCTGCGTTCTTTAGGGTTTCAATCTCAAATGATGGACCTACAGGAAAAAGAAACAAAAAAGATTGGCACCTTACATGAGCCTGATGACTCACACAACTCAGCAGAGCAGCTCAATCGCCAAGGCCTGGGTCCTTGAGACCCAACAACTAGAGCAGAGACAAAAATAAACAAACATGACATAGACCCCAGTAGGATCCCCTGTTGGCTCGATTAATTCTACTAATACTTACATAATGCTTACTATGTTCCAGGCAGTGTACTAGACACTGGGGATACAGGAATGAACAAGGTAAGTTCAGTAACTCAACAGTCCCAACACCTACCCTAGAAAGTTCCCATAGGACAAAGAGGAAATGGTGCAAGCTGCAGTGGTCAGGGGATTTAGGTTACAAAGAAACATGCTGGGGAAATAGTTCCCAAATCAACGCTGGTCAGTCTTTCTCTCAGAATCTAGAATCCCACACTCAGGTAGAAGATCTAAGGAGAATAAGCCCTGTGTAGGCTCTTAGCAGCCACTTTCCACCTTGAGGATCCAGGCTTGGCTTCTCCTTTCTCAGCCCACCCCATTGGAGCCCTGTTGACCAGGAGAAGCTTGAAAGCACCTATGCTGCTTCTTCAGGAGCTAAAAGGCCAGAGGCCTATGGACTGAGAACAGTGAAAAAAGGAATAGAAATAGGAACAAAAGTCAGAAGCATTAGGTAGTTTTTGGACATCATGATGGCCCTAGCCTGTTCCCTGACGAACAAGAAAACTTTGACTGCTATAGTCGATAACCTGTAGAGGCAGGGCTCTGACTGAGAGAGGATGGGGCCTTTGTCACCGCCCCGCTGCAGTTATCATGTGTCGTAGATTAGCTGTCTCACCTGTGAGATGTTCCCTCAAAAAATGTAACTATTCTGCAGTCTGGATCACACCTGAGTCTCAAGAACAAAGAGAGAAATAACTTACCAGGTGGTCCCAGTGGGCCTTGTGGGCCTGGTAGGCCTGGTAAACCAATTCTGCCTGGGAGGCCAGTTGCCCCAACTGTGGTATGGCCTGGGTCTCCTTGGTCCCCCTTCAGGCCTGGAACACCCTGAGAGCCCAGGGTGCCTGGGGCAGCTAGATGGATAAACCCAGACAAAAATGCTCATCAGACCACCCTACTCTTCAGAAGTGTTCCAAATCAGTGGCATATGTTGACAACTATTCTCCAGGGAAGAATTTGGGAAAGCATTTGTCCTTCTTTTGTCTTAAAAGGATCCTTAGGGATCATCTAACCTAACCTCTTGGGAAACTGAGGCCCAAAGAAATGAGGAAACATGGCACAGAGTTTATTGGCAAATTTGATTGGAAAACCTGGGTCTTCAGCCTCCCACTCAATTTTTTCCACCTTGGTGTTGGGGCCAGCTATACTTCCTCCCAGTGGCTACTTTAAGAACACAGATATCCTTAGAGAGGCCTATCTCTAAGGAGTTTTGAAACTGGTACCTTTAAAAGTAATATCTGAGGCTTTATATCTGGGACTTTGGCATGCCCTTTTCCCACTTGGTACTATAGAATGGCATTTTGGTATGCCCCTCTGATGATTGGTTTGAGTGTCACCCATAGGATCCTGGGGTCGTTTAGTACCTGAGTTAAACATAGATTGAGAGCCTGGGTACAAATTTTCCTCTGGGCTTTTTTAGCATCAGCTGGGATGGCACGTCCACAGTAGAGGGACAGGACAGGACAGGACAGCCCAACCCAGGCCTCCTCTGGTTGCTGCAAACCTCCATGGCAGCCTGAGATTGCTTATCTATCTATGGTACATTATTTAGTCCAAAGGAAAGCTACTTACCTGGGCCCCATGCCCATATACATTAGCCTTGGGCTAGCAGTGGGGAATCTATTGACTATATAGTCTACCTTTTCTTTGGCTTTGCCAAGCTGTGTGCCCAGCCTCAGAGGTATAGAAGGGGATTCTGGCCACTAGAGTGGATAGAGGAATGATATTTGCAGGGAGCGGGTTAGTTTATTTCACCTGATAAGATTGGTGGGAGGCCAGGGGTGCCAGAGGGGCCAGGTGGGCCCTGGATGCCTTCATCTCCTTTAAGGCCTGGGAGGCCTGGTATACCAGGGTCTCCAGGATAACCTAGCATTATAATACAAAAAAAAAAAAAAGCAGTAAGCAAACCCAGAGGAGGTCCACAAATGGCACAAAGTGCCTAGGAAGAAATGCAGGGAGTTGCCTGGAGTTAGAAGTGCCTCTCTTGCCCTTCCCAGGTCTCACAGATGCTAATGGCCTCACATGATAATGGGCCTACCAGAGCCAAGGCTCCACTAGTGTTCAGAACTGGTCTGGTCAGGGCCTAGCTTCCACGGTAAGATCTGATAAGTATTAGAAGAATTCTACTACTACTAATCTGCTGTAATGCCTCAAATGCCCACTGTTTGGGTTAAGGTGTGGAAATCCACCATTCATGTTGCACACATAGGCTTCCTGGGACTGGAACATGGGAAATATCTGTTGACCATTAATAAGTCAGTTTGAATGAATTTACAAGACAGGGCATGGGCCTGAGAGGATGACAGGAGAGGGATAAATTATTGAGACTCAGGTGGAAGAGGCATTATAGTAGAAGCCTTTGGTCAAGCAAGAAGTAGCTGGAAACACTGGGCATTTGGATATTTAAGGAAAGCAAAATGAAGAGTTGGGCATACACAGTAACTAGGACAAGGAAAGGTGAAGACAAGTGTCATGGTATTATTGAGGTATCAACCACTTGCCCCCTAGCCAAAGATACTTTTTTTCTATTTTCCTTGAAATTGTCAAGCTCAAGCACTCATCGGACCATCTACATGAGACCTTGAGTGTCCTACAGCATCAGGCTGAAGTCAGCCCATCTGGGGAGGATGTCAATTCTTCCCTAAGCATCACCAGGAGAATTATTTTACCCATATCTAGGCCAACGCAGACCCAAATCTTGGTGGACCCAACACAAAAATGGAATGTTGGACTTGGCCTCTCTTCCCAGGAGATGAAAGTTAGTTTCATTCCCCAAGCTCGGAGCCCATGAATCTTCCCTTGAAACAGCATTTGGGTCCTTGGGAGTGTCGGGCTTAGCAACAATCCAGTGGCTGACAAAGTATCCTCTTAACAATTATAAGGATATAAAATTTAATGCTCTGCCTTTTCTTCTTCACTCAAATCAATGAAAAGTTGTACCTGATATTACAGCACCTTCTGTATCAATGAAAACATCCGGGCCTGGCAGGCCAATGCCACCTTTATTACCCTGCAAAGGTTAAATATTTCCATGACCTCATCACTCAAGAGCTATGTGCCCTCAAAGTCAATCTCCAGGAGAGTGAAAGATACCTTCTTTTGTAACTCCTGATTTCCAGGGTCAACCAGTGCATAAATTAACTTCAAAGTCCAATAAATTTAATATGGAGGTAGGACAAGGCAGGCCAGAGGCCTGATACTCAATTACAAATCTGTCAAGGATAAGGGCTTCCAATTTTACTTTGCAACCCTACTACAGGACAATCTCCTTCTGGACCTGGAAAACATATCAGAGGCTTAGACAATATGGATCCACCCAAGAGGTGCTAACATGGAGGGAACAGAGTTTCATTTTTTTTTTTTTCTCTCAGCAGCCCTGGAACTCTGTTACTGTCACTGCATGACAGTGGATGATGTCAGGTAGAGGAAGTTAAAGGAGTCCTACTTCTCCCAAAAGAAGGACTCAGGTATCAGAATCAGATACAGTGGCATATCAAGGGTGGGGTAGTAGGAGCTGCCTGCCCCAGATACCACAGAGAATTTAAAAATAGTAATAAAATTAAAAAGTTGGCAATTGTGAACATATCAGTAATAAAATATTCCTTGTCAGAGGGATGGACTTGCTCCCACCAGCCCCTACCCCTTGGTCTGCCACTGATCAAATAGCATCTATGTAATAAGTTTTGTGTGTCCAAAGTAGCTTGCATGTGCATTTCTTGAGAAAAGAGCAATATCTAAAACTTCAAAATATTAAAAATACTTCATCTCATATGTAGATATGTATGGTAATTCTTCACCCTTCCACCTCCCCAACCCTGGATTTTTACTTCCCAGCAACATTACCTTAATTCCTGGGAATCCATTAAACCCAGGGAAACCTGAGGACCCCTTCTTGCCCTGTGATAGAAACACAGTTACCACTAAGTTGAATGTCTAAGATCATAGGAGGGGGCTGGTCTTTTGGTTAGGCCTGGGCAAATGGCACAGGGATCTTGCCTGGCATTCCAGGATCTGGCTTCTACCTGACTCTAGAAGTTATAAAGTCTTCCAGAAGGCAATATAGCAATAAATAGCCAACCTGCATATAAGGAGGTACAAGTGCCACAACCCTAGAGACAGATATAAGTAGGCTGGCCTTGCTAGGCCCTGATAACATATCAAAGTAGTATGATCAAATCGTGGTATGCCACGGAACCAGATTTGACACTAGCGACCCATTTTCTTGGGTGAAAACAAAAGAAGAGAGTGGCTAAGATTATATCCACCAAAGGGAGGTGGACAATTTGCATTACAGTCAATGTCTCCCTTCGGATTTATGGCCATGTTAAGTAAAGCAAGAGGATCTCTTGATTAGGGTTTTGTACATCAAGTCTTTAATGATCTTAACCAAAATACCTGACTCCCTGGAGGGCCTTGAACTCCTTCTGAACCCATGGGACCCTGTAAAGAGAATAGACACATCTTAGAAAGATTAAGAGCCCACACTAGAAAAAGCCACTAGACTTATACAACAAAGCTATCCAACTGAGTTGAGGATTTAGCAGCTCCTAAAATCAGGTAACTATGAGTCCGAATCAACTGCACTGGCAGTAGGTTTGGTTTTTGTTTTTATTTTTTTCAAATCAGGTAAGAGAATGTTTCTAGATCTGGCTTAATGACTTCTTTCTAAGCACTAATCCACCAGTCTGAATAGCCACATGGAGCATTTTTAAGAGCTAAATAAATGGAAACATTTTAAGTACTAGGCGGAATTTGGTGGAAGGGCTGGGTGTATTATACTTAGTTTGCATTAGTTCCAAGTCATGAGATTTTTAAATAGATTATGGGAGGGTCCCTTTTCTCCCAGCCCAAATGCATTCTTTGTGGGTGATTATGTGTTTTCAAGACAAGGGAGTAGGGAAAAATAGAGAGCGAAATGGCAGGCTAATGGGTAAGTATAGCTAAATACTCAAAGGACTCTTAACAAGCTTTATGGCCAAGCAAAAAACACAATTCTCTAAAATGTTACTTCTTTAAGGCTAAGATTGGCCAAGTGCTTGTAGCCCAAGACCTAAGTGTCTGAATCTAGGAATCAAAGAGGCTAATAGATATTTCTCCATTTGAAGTGAGATTATTATTGAAAACTGTTGACTCTAAACAGCACTCACTGTGTTCTAGAACGTCCCAGGCTTGTTTATGTCCTATAGAGATTGAACTTAGCCCTCTTTCTTCCATTCCTCCCCCCCGCCCCCGACAGTCCCTTGGAGTACAATGGAATCAAAGCAAGACAATACTAATGCCATTCTTAAGCCCAGAAGAGGGCAAGGAGAGTAAACAGGCTGAGGAGGTACCTAGGGTAAAACCAAACCAAACCCGCTGCTGTAGAATCGATTCCAACTCATAGGGGATGCATAATTCCTTATTCAAGGGAGTCACTTAGCCAAGGGAACGGAGCTAAGAAGCAAGGAGGAGGTTTTAGGGATCTGCCAGAGGGTTGAGAAACAAGAGAAGTTTAGTTTGCCCATCAAGTTACATAACAGAAAGAAGCAAACAGGGAAGAAAATGGACCAGGTGACTTGAGAGAACCAGGCAAGCAACCTTCTAGGTTCATACCCTAGGTCCTGGCAAACCAGGGATTCCCTTTTCTCCTTTTTCTCCGGTAGCTGTAGATTCCTAAAGGAAAAAAAAGAAACCATAAGTTACAACATACTTTTCCTCATAGGTCTCCTGACTCCATCTAAAACAAGGAGGTGATTTCAAAAGGCAATAAACCAGCTCCACTGATCCACTGGGGAGACTCGCCTTGCTGAGGCTCTTGTCATTGCCTGAGATGCACAGAGGGCCTGAAAGTAATTTAGACCATACATTTATGGTTCCCCTTTGGTTTTAGAAGAGAAGTCTTCCTCCCAAAACATTATTACATATACTGACAGCATAGGAATTATTTATTATATATCTAACCTCCTTAATTTTACAGATGGGGAGACAAACGCCCAGAAGGGTTAAGCATCTTGTATAGGTTCCAGAGGAGCCCCTGGGTGGTGCAAACAGTTAACATGCTTGGCTGTTAATCAAAACATTGGAGGTTCAAGTCCACCCAGAGATACCTCAGAAGAAAGGCCTGGTTGGTGATCTATTTCCAAAAAATCAAGCCACTGAAAACTTTATGGAGCATAGTTCTACTCTGACACACATGGGGTTGCCATAAATCAGAATTGACTCCATTGGCTACAGAATCAATGAGAGAGCCAGGTCTTCTGATTTCCATTCCAGGGCCCTTTCCATGTGAACAGACTGCCTTGCACAATCTGGGAGCTTGATTCTTTGACCCCTAAATGGAGGATTGTGTAAATCCTTAGGGGTTGACATTGGAGGGAAGATCTTTTTCCCTTTGGAGACATGATGATTGCAACATCTTCTTCAGTGGAAAAGAGCATTTATATCTAGGCCTGGCCTGGAGCCCCACAGCTCCTTTACTGCGACCAAAGGAGACTATGAGATGTTCTCCAATCCCTCATGCCATGCTCACAAGAGGGGAGTGATTGCAGCCATGGATATGACTTAGAGATTCTCTAGGGACAAGCAAGGAATCCAAGAAGCAGAGGGAGAGAGAGTTCTCTCCCTGCAAGTGTACTCAGGGTACCCATAATATAGAAAAGTTCACTACCAAAGTGGATAAAGTCTTTCATGGAAAGTTTAACTGAGGCCATTTTGTTGGTGGTGTTTAAAATTGTACTTTCCAGCACATGGATTTTGGCAAACAACATTTTGAACCATTGTGAGAGTAAAGGGGGCAGTGAAGCTTTCTCAAATGTAAGCTTGTGAAAGACTCTCAGTGTGGTCGTGGCACATCTCCTGTTGTCCTCTTGATGTGCCCTGGCTCAGCTGGTGTGAGGGCACTGCTCCAATGCCATTTGAAGCTTTTTCTTCCTCTGACATACTCAGTCTGTTCCCATGAGTACTGAAAGCTGGTTGAATGGCCCCTAATTTTCTAGGACCAAAGTTTTTTTGTTTGTTTTTATTTTAATGTGTGTGTGTTTTTTTTCTTTTTATTGGGGGGAGAGTGTGTGTGTGTGTGTGTGTGTGTGTGTGTGTGTCTGCACGCGCGTGAAGGGTCCAATTGAAAGCAGGCTGTGGTTCCTACTTGCCTTTTCTCTTTTCTTTCTACATCTGTAGTTGTTGAGTATTAAATAGCTTAGATCTCATTCTGAATAGGATTTCTATTTGAAAGGCCCGTGGGTTAAACTGAATGCAAACTTATTTGAAATTTTAGTTTCTGCATCTTAAATTGGAAACCCAGGCATGCTGCCACCTGGTGGAATGTGCCCATTGGCCTCTGAAATAAAACACTTTGAGTGGCCTTCCCTGACGTGTCCATTAAACCTATGGTAGCCCTTGTGACCTCTCCTTTCCCCAAACCCTTAAAACGCTAAGATTGGTTGTGTATGGAAGTTTGTGAGCAGAAGGTCTATATCACATTATCTTTTGTCTCCCTGCAGGCTGAACACATACAAAGTGGTCCAGTAAATACTTGTTGAATTGAATGGAATAATGACCCAGAGAATAAAACTGTTTCAAATGGTGAAGGAATGCATGTCCAGAAACTGTCTCATGCCCCCCCAGCTATGTTGTCCACAGTTATAAATACAAGGGGGCCTTGTACTCCTTCAGAAAGCAGAAAGAATCTCTAGACTTTTGCTTTTTTAGAGAGAGCATCTGAGAGCTCGTGCTACGGTGTGAAAAAAAATATTTTTTTTTAAAAGGAAAAGATAGCTGTGTGCGGGGGGAGGGGAGTGGTCAAAGCCAAACAACCATAAACACTAAACACTGTGCTGTAGGCTCAGCTTGCCTCCCAGTGCAGAGAGGTACTGTACAGGGACCTGCAGTATAAGCTGTTTTAACAAGATATTCCCCCAGACCTGGCCCTGTCATAGTCAGTCTTTGTCATGGCCATCCCTTCTCATCCATAGCCAGGAAAGCTGTGTGCTAGTTTAGCTGTTCCTAAGCCTGCTCTTCTGGTGTTTTCTGGTTCTGGGGCGGTTCAATTGAAGGAGAACCCCATCTACCCAGTAGTTACCTCAGATCCACCCAATAGCTACCTTAGGATTTGCCAGTTTCTTCTCTTCTACTTCCCCTCACCTCTTCCATTTTGCCTTACCCTATGTTTGCTGGTGTGTTGAACAGAGGCGCACAGATACATGATTCTCTCTTACAATCTCCATGTGAGGACCTCTGGCCTACAGGTGTGCGTGAGCTGATGGGGACAATGAGATGAAATGTGTGAAACTAGGACTGAGTCAGATAATCAGGGATGTTTGGTCACTGTAGACGGGGCGAGAGAAAGAAGGTGAGGTATATCTGTTAGGCTGGCTACTTATCGGCAGCTCCTGCAAAGAGTTGGGCACTTTATGTGCCCTCTGACAGGAAAATTGTGGGAAGAAAGATGGTGATGTATTTGAGGTACTCTGGGCTTTGGATTTGAGAAGAGTGTTTGCTCTGAAAAGCCCAGAGTACCTCAAGTATGTTTCCACCTTTCTTCTCACAACTTTGCTGCCAGAGGGCACAGAAGGTGCCTATGAATGTGTCCATTAAGTAGACAGATAATTAGGACTGAAAGAGTTACATGATTTGGCCATCGTCACACATCGAATCTATGATGAAGTGGGCTGAGAATGCTGGTTTCTTGATTCCCACCCTATGAAAATACTCTGTTCTTATATAAGAGGAGGTATTTTCCAGCTTTGATGTCTTTACAATTAACTGGAGTTTCTGTTTTTCAGTCCACACTGTGAAACACTGGAAATGCTATGCTTGAAACGGTATTGCAATTTATCACCAGTATTGGCAATTTATCACCGTGTATTGTCTGTCAGTCAGTCTCTCTCTCTTTTGCAGGACAAAAGAGAATGAGTTGAAATTGCAGCAGGGGAAATCCTCTAAAGAAGAATAGAAGGGATGGGGAGTCAGGGAGGGAGCGTGAGTGAGCAACCCCAGTAACACCAGAGAGCATAAAATCTTTTCTTAGACATTTTAGAGATGAAAACACCACCGCCACCAGAACTGGAACAAACTGGACTGTAGGGGGCAGTATGGTATAGGGAAACAGCCCACCAGGACTCCATGAATTGGCTAGAACTCAAGAAAGCCGAATTACAGGCTCAGCTCTACTAACAACTAGCTGTGTGACTCTGGACAAGCCTCTTCATCCATTTAGGCTGTGGTTTCCTCATCAGTACAAAAGGGAGGATGTGAGGTGATCAGAATCTATCTGAAAATGCTCTATGAAGAAAGGTGCCAACCTTATTCCCAAACCCATTTGCGAAGCATGTCAGCGCTGTCCAATAGCAATATGAGTTACTATATGTTATTTTAAATTTTCTAGTAGTCACATTAAAAAAGGTAAAAATAAATAGGTGTGATTAATTTTAATAATATATTTTATTTAACCCAATATATCATAAATGTTATCATTCCAACATTTAATCAGGTAAAAATTATTAATGAGATATTTAACGTTCTTTTTTATATTACGCTTTGGAAATCCAGTATCTATTTTATACTTACAGCATGTCTCAATTCAGACAAGTCACATTTCCAGGACTCAGTAACCATATGTGGCTAGGTGGTTACATATTGAACAGCACAGCTTTATACTTTGTAAAGTGATGAAAACACCACTACCACTGTGACAAGAACAAACTGGACCGTAGGGGGCAGTATTCAGACACACTGTCAGTTGGGCTTCAAAACAGCTATGACCAGTGCCAAATTACAGATATGCAGAGAGAGGTTCAGTGACATGCCCAAAGTCCCAGAGCTGGAACTGGGCCTAAAGTACAGGTCTCTTGTCTCCAACACGAGAGTTCTCTTTCTTTCTGACTCAGTAGATACAGAGCTAATTAAAATTGAGGACATTCAACAGATGATTCTCTATGCCTCTTTGTTTCTGTGGAGTAATAGAGAACACCACGGTAGTAACCTGTGCCACTGGTTCCACTGGCTCTGTTATCTGGTCACCTGGCAGAGCCGAAGTGCTTCAGAGAATCGTAGGAAAGCACTGCAGTCATCTATCTCATCATGCCAGCAAGCAGGGGCAGGCCTAGTCATCTGTGACGCATTCATTTCCCACTCGACCCCTACACCCCACCCATCAAAATCTTGTCAGTTCTCCCTTCAAAACACATGCTGCAATTTAAGAAACATATCAGCCAAATTCAATGTATGGGCCTTGTTTGGTTTCTGATTCGAACAAATCAACTGTAAAATCATATACTCATGAGACAATCAGATAAATTTGAATATTGATTTATTAACTGATATTAGGTTATTGCTGATAATTAGTTACTGTGATATTATCACCATGTTTTAAAAAGTCCTTATCTTTTAAAAATTCTGAGGTGTTTATGATGAAATGATGTCTGTTATTTGCTTCAGACTGGCCATGAGTTGATAATTGTTGAAGCTAGGTGATGGGCACACAAGGGGATCATTATGCCATTCTCCTCACTTTTGTATACATTTGAAAGTTCTATAATAGCAAGTTTTAAAAGCTTACATTTTGAATCCATCTACTTCTCTCCATTTCCATTGCTATCACCATAGTCCAAGTCACCACTACCACTTCTCACCTGGATTGCTGCAATAGCCTCCATGCTTGCTACCCCACCCCATCCCCATCCTCTGCAGCCAGAATGGTCTGTTTAAAACTACAAGTCAGAGCCTTTGAAGAGCTTCCCATTACATTTAGAATAAAAGCCACATTTGACCTACGGAAGACACCATGATCTGGCCCTTGCCTCTCTGTCTGGGTCTTTTCCTTGCTCACACCGCTCCACTCACGCTTACCTTCTTGTTGTTCCTCCAAAATGCTGAGCTTTTTCCAACCTCAGGATCTTGGCACTTACAGTTCCCTCTGCCTGAGACACTCTACCCAGTCTTTACATGACTAGCTCCCTTATAATACTCAGGTCTCAGCTTATACATCACCTTCGCAGAGAGACCCTTCTTGACCCCTCTGTCCAAAGTAGCCAACCCCACTCCTCGTCCACACTCCATCACTTTACCCTTTTTTTTCATCTTCTATATATCATTTGGAGTCTGGGGTGGTGCAAACGGTTAAACACTCGACTACTTGGCTACTAGCTGAAAGGTGGGTAGCTCGAACCCACCCAGAGATGCCTTGGAAGACAGGCCTGGCGATATGCTTCTGAAAGGTCACAGCCTTGAAAACCCTATGGCTTAGTTCTACTCTGCACACATGGGGTCACCATGAGTCAGAATCGACTCAGTGGCAACTAACAACCAACAACATATCACTTACCACTATGTGAAATTGTTATTAACTCATTTGTTTACTTGTTTATTGTCTGTCACTCTCCTTCCACCCCCATTAGAACAGAAGTTCCTTGAAGACAAGAATTTTGACTTATTTACTGTTGTAGCTTCACACTCCAGCACAATGCCTAGCATATGCTGTTGTTGTTAGTTACCCTCCAGTCGATTTCAACTCATGGCGACCCAATGTGTGTATAAAACAAAAAACCCGCTGCCATCGAGTTGATTCGGACTCATAGTGACTCTCTAAGACAGAGTAGAACTGCGCCATAGGGTTTCCAGAGAGCAGCTGGTGGATTCAAAATGCAGACCTTTCGGTTAGCAGCCAAGCTCTTAACCTCTTAACCACTACACCACCAGGGCTCCAATGTGCACATAAGAGCCCTTAAAACCTATTTGTTGAATGAAAGAATCTAAGACACAAAGGTAGATATGAAAGTGAAGATAGGATTACTAAGATTAGATACCATTTACTGAATGATAAGTGCCAGCATGTACTAAGCCCTTTTTATGCATATCATCTCATTTAATCCTCATAACCACCCCCACTATTATCTCTCTCTCTCTCTCTTTTTTTTCTTTATAAGTGAGGAAACTGAAGCTCAGAAAAGTTAGTAGTTTTGTCCAAAGTCACATAGCTAGAAACTGGTGAAACAAGAAGTCAAGCCTAGGTCTGTTTTAATTCTAGAGCCTGAGCTAATATCCTCTGAGATAAACAGCCTCATGGAAACAAGTCAATATTCTCATGGGATTGAGAAACAAGAACTTTTCCTTAAGTGTCTTTTAATAATGAAGATGGTGGAATTCTCTACAATAACCATAGGAAGAGATTTTTTTTTTGTTATCCTTCTACTATTAAAATTTTTGTCCAATCGGACCTTGAATATATGTTGGCCAAGTAGGGAGACTTACCGGGATGCCTGGAGGACCAACTATGCCTGGGAAACCCGGAGGCCCTGGTTCACCCTGGAAAAGTCAACCAAAGATTAGTGAGTATCAGCAGGAAGCAGTGAACATAAAGTTACTTGGGTATCATGCTTGGAGTGGTGTAGATTTCCCAAGCCCCAACTAGTAACTGCACAAGGATGTCTTACTTTGGGGAGCCCTTTGTGATGTAGGAAGGATCAAGGCACATGCAGGGAAAGAAAATTTTCTAAAACAGAATCTGAAATGCCCAGGCTAATTAGAAAATAGAAAAGAAAAAAAAGATCATTTGTTTTATTTCTAGTGGAAAAAGCTGTTGAGTAAGATTTCCTGTAGTAAATTACAGGTTGCAAAGAAACCAATGGTTTTGGAAAAAGGATAACAATTACAATTTGGATAGGGATACACATATTCTAATCTGTCTTCCCCTGATATGCTAATTTATCTATACATGCCATGGAAGAGCTCCCTAAGGTTTGGTAATGATCAGGGAGGCAAACAATGTCTCATCTGCTCTCAGACTGTTCCTAAACCAATGATTACTTCCTATAATCCTGGAGTGGGCCTGGAGTTGTTCCTTCCACAAAGACAAAAGTAAAGAAACGGGATTAAACACATTCCCCTGCATGGGTCCCTTGGACATGGAACAGAAATGCAGAATTTAAGGGTGACCTAAGAAGGAAGGTAACACAGGTTAAGTAACCCTCATTGTTCAGAAGAACAGTAACTGAAAGATATCTGCAAACCATGTGCTAGTAAACCTCTAAAACCGAGGCACTTGACATAATACAACGGCTGACATGAGATCTGAATCAAAACTCCATTTTGTTACAAGCTCCTGCTTCTGCATTCCTGAGAATGTAGCCTTGGCTTCTTCCCATTCATTTGCATGTGGCCGTGGGCCTCTGGCTGGGTGGGACCAGAAGACTCTGGCCCCCTATCAATCATCTTGTTTAACTGGCCTGGCTCTTGCACCAAGTCATTCTTAAGTAAATAAGGGTGGGGGGTCAGGAATTCCGTTTAGCAAGTCTTAGTAAGGGTGGGGGTCAGGAATGTGATTGTAGGAGAACAAGTTTACTCAAGATGTCCCAGGAAGAAGGTGGTTGAGAGTAGAGTTGTTGATGATGACCTACCTTGTGACCATGTGACCATCATGCATTCCCCTTCCTTATCTTTAATATACAAGCACAACTCTCCCTCCATTCTTTGGAGCACTGGTAGATTCTTTTGGCCTTGTGTTTCCCCAATTCGCAAATTATATTACCCTTAATAAATCTCGTTGCTTTTACTTTAACAAATTGAGTGTTCTTACACTTTGACAACCTTAACAGCATATAGCCATTCAAACACAGCCTTTCTCACAACCATGTACATAATATACATTCATTCATGTAAAAATACAGATTATAAAATATCTCAGTTAAATAGGTCTACAGCTTAAGCATTAGTAATTCAGATCAGGTGAATTAGGATATCTACTGCCACGTGGTGACAGTATACTCTATTTTCAGGGTTAAGTTTTGAGAACAAATAACTTCTTTAAGCAGATAACTCAAAAGTAAACATTTATACCCTATATGTTGTGTCACAGTTCTTTGAGGGCACCATACATAATAAGAGAATTGGAAGCTAAGAGGAAAAAACAACTAATTTTTTAAAGTTATTCAGCATCTTGAAAATTGAATCTGCCAGACGGAAACAAAGAAAATAACACTTAAATGAATACTCAGAAACTCGGGTATGCATACTCATTCTCACATGCCAGAAAACATGTGGGTTTTCTCGAGAATTTTAAAAAGCTTTTCATGAGGGACAAAAGAAAGATGGCTTTTTAACCTCACTTCCAAATAAAAATCCATTATTATTCAGAACCCTCTATTCTTCCACTATAGTCTGGTTATTTGAGTTGAGTATCAACAGGAAAAGGCTTACTGACTTTTCCTATTCTTAAGTGTTCACCTACCTTGGATCCTTTTTTTCCTTTTGGAAAACCCATAAACTCTAGCTCTCCCGTAGATGGTGGTGGCCCTGCAGGTCCGGGGAGGCCCACATCACCCTGTAAGACCAAAGGGAACAGTGAGCAAAGCATAAGCCTCACAGACTATTTCTCCAGAGGATGGGCTTATCCTCTGGATGTAATTGACAAGTAAACTGTCCATCACTTTGGCCTCTTCATGCTTACCTTTGCATCAAGGAAACACAGCTATCATTGCCAAGGGGTGAGAACAATTTTAAGCCTGACCAAATGCACTTTGTATCACTAGTGCAGAAGGAGGATGGGAGATGGACGAAAGGAAACCACAGATTGATGGTTGCCACAGTCACGCACAAAAGGGTGTTTAGAAGAGAACATAAAAAGGGTGTTTGAGAAAGGTGAATGGCCACCTCTTGGCAACAGAGATCAAACGCTAATGAGTCCAATCCCTGCCAAGAGCACAAGCAGAGGCAGTGAAGTCCACGTTGGAACATTGGGGGTTAGCTGTGCTCCTTCACAGGGCAGTGTAATCCACAAAAGGCAGCCATGAAGGGTGGGGAGGACAAGCTCTTAGCCTCCCTTGAGGCTGCCCCAAATCACCATACAATTTGTACAGAGGGAAATGAGGGAAATAAAAGGGAATGATGAGATGAGAGAGGCAGAAGGAGAGAGAAGAATGAGGAGGTAGAGAAGGAGGAGGAGAAGGGATGGATGAAAGCAGAAAAGCAGAGAAAAGGAAAGGGAAGGTGACACAATATACAAAACACCAGGAAAATACCTAGGTGGAAAGAAGAGAACAAAGATATTTCGAGAGAATATGTTTGTAAAACACACACACTTCACAGGTGGGAATCGGGGATACTATAAGGCTTGGAAGGAAAAACAACAGCAGCCTATGTGTGGCATGTGCACAAGCAGCCTTCAAGAGATCCCACAAGAGGACCCATGTGGGCTAGGAAATGCTTGATTCCCAAACCAAAGATCTAAATCCCCTTACACAAGCAGGCATATGCATGTCACCAGAGACATGTTTTTTTTTTGGAGCATATGGAATGCAGATTATATTTTCCAAAATCTATTTACCTTGACTCCTTTCTCTCCTTGGAAACCTAATCCCATATTCCCCTGAGGCACAGGGATGCAGGGAGAAAAAACAAAATCAATTACTAAACAAGCTCCAGGAACTTAAAAACAAAAACAAAAACGAACCCATGCTGTCGAGTCGATTTCGACTCAAAGCAACCCTATAGGACAGAGTAGAACTCCCCCACAGAGTTTCCAAGGAGCGCCTGGTAGATTCAAACTGCCGAGCTTTTGGTTAGCAGCCACAGCACTTAACCACTACACCACCAGGGTTTCCACCAGGGTTTCCACCAGGAACTTAAATCATTGGAATAAAGTCTTTTTTACCATAGAGTAGGTTTAATCAAAGCAGTATCTCTTTGGGGGAGGCCAGAATACTTAGGGGTAAGAGGCAAAATGCCCCAAGATAAAGCCTACTTACATCAGGACCAGAGAAACCTGGGGGACCTGGAGGACCCTAGATTCAAAAAGACAGAAAAGAGTTAGTTCTTGGTATTTCAGCCAAAAAGGACACATCCATGTTGGGAAGCACTGGGGATAAGCCTCCCTACCACTTAGGGTAGCCTAGCTTTGATGTAGCAGATTCTAGTTCCTCTTCCCATGGTTCCTTTTTCTTTCCTTCGAACTCTCCCAAATCGACATGATAACTACATTCATGCTAAGATAGTGGAGCTCTCATGTGTCATTACTCCAGATTGGCCAGAAATTTTAATATGCTGATCCTTGGTGAAGCTAAGCCAAAATAATAAGAGGCGGGATTTCATGCACTGGAGAGAGAAAACTCTGGGGACGGGGTTTTCTTAGAACCACATAGATGATTGGCTCTGCTCTTCCTATACTGGTGATGGCAAATAGGCTTGGTCTCGGAAAGACAGGTAGGTAGGAACTGCCCAGGCATAGTGTTGAGAAGGATTTTGAAGATTCCTTCCGGGTTCAGGGTAGGTGGTGGTGGTGGTATGATTAGTTAACAATGTTTGTCATGGGTGAAGGAGTAGAAGGTGGCAATGGATGTGCCAGCTATCTGCCATCCCTGGGCTATACTTTAGGCTGAGCTAGACTGAGAGGCTTTGGAAGCACAGAGTGGATGGTGAGAAAGATTCTGATTTAAAAAAGACAATAAACAGCTCCTAGCAAGAGCATGTTTCACTTTGATCTTCCAAGAATGGAGGCGTCCCTTCTCGACTAGGAGGGTCTACATTTCTATAGGCTTACATTTAATCTATGATGGGGAAAGCAGTCATGTGAATACTATGATCACATATTAGACTTAAGTTAGTCTTACTTGAAAGCCTGGGGATCCTCTGGGTCCTACGGCTCCTGGAGATCCAGGCGCTCCTTTTGGACCCTAGAAAAGTAAGTTTTTACTGAGTTCATACAGCATGACAGTTGCCCGAGAGAAATGAAAACATATCTGTCCATCAGAATTGCACAAGAATGTTCATAGCAACTTTATTCAGAGAATAAAAAATTGGAAATGCCCCAAGTCTTCATTGATATAAGGATGGATAAATAAAGTGGGATACATCCATATAGTGGAATAACTACACAACCATGATGACAATAAAAAGAAACAAACTACTGATACACGAAACAATGTGGATGAAGCTCAAAAATATTATATTCTTAGTTCAATCAAGTATATGAGACCAAATGAGCAACACCTGCCCAAAAGCAAAGACAAGAAGGCAGGAAGGGACAGGAAAACTTGGATGAATGGACATGGGGAACTCGAGGTGGAAAGAGGGAGAGTGCTGACACATCATGGGGATTGCAATCAATGTCATAAAACGATTTGTGTATAAATTTTTGAATGATAAATTAACTTGAGCTGTAAACTTTCGCCTAAAGCACAATAAAAAAAATATGATGCTAAATGAAAGAGCTTAGACCCAAAAGGCTAAGTATTATATTATTCCCTTTATATGGAGTTCTAGAACAGGCAAAACTGCTCTTTGGTGGAAAAAAAATCAGAACAGTGGTTCCTTTTGGGGTAGGGTGATGGCAGGGATTGACTGGGAAGGCGCAGGAGAAAACTTTCTGAGGTGATGGTAGTGTTCTATATCTTAATAGGGGTTTGCGTTACAAAGGAGTATGCATTTGTCAAAACTCAGCAAATGCACATTTAAGATTTGGGCATTTCATTGTATATAAATTTTACATAAAAAGAAAAACTGTAAACAAATACTGAAGTCTAGCTAACGATAGGCATGCTCTAGTATTTAGGGAAAGGGGACTGTTGTCTACAATTTACTTTGAAATGCATCAAAAATAAGATGGACTGATGAACAGACAGAGGGATGGATAGCTGGATGGAAGTGGGATAGAGCAAGTACATTAATGATATGGGTGTTTACTGCAAAATTCATTCAACTTTGCTCTATATTTGAAATTTTTATATTAAAATGTTGGAAAAATAAAACTTAAAAAAAGAAAGCAAAACATTTATATTAACATCAGATAAAGTAGACTTCAAGACAGAATATTACCAGAGATAAAGAGGGGCGTTTCATAATGATACAATAGGTCAATTCATCAAGAAGACATAACAATCTTAAATGTGTATGCACCTAGTACAAGAGCTTTAAAACACACGAAGCAAAAACTAACAGAATTGCAAGGAAAAATAGACAAATCCACAATTATAGTTGGAGATTTTAACACCCCCTCCTTCAGTAATTAATAAAACAAGTAGACAAAAAATCAGTAAGGGCACAGAAAATCCAAAAAACATTATCAAACCCTTGGTCTAATGAATATGCTTTAAATCAACATATCCAACAACAGCAGAACGCATATGCTCTTCAAGTGCAAATGGAACATTCAACAAGATAGACCATATGTTGGGCCCTAAAACAAACCTCAATAAATTTCAAAGAACTGAAATCATATAGACTGTGCGCTCCAAACACAAAGAACTCAAATGAGAAATCAATGACAGGAAGATATCTGGAAATTTGCCAAGTATTTGGAACTTAAACAGTATACTTGTAAGAAATCAGAAAATAATTTGAACTGAATGATAACAACAATAATAATAAAAGCAAGATGGTGAAATCTGAATAGAAACATGATATGGAGAAATGTATGGCCTAGTTGAAAGAGGGGAGTAGTAACAAGGTAACAAGGAGCCCTGGTGGCACAGTGGTTAAGCGCTCAGTTGCCAACCGAAAGGTCAGTGCTTAGAACCCACCAGCCCCTCAGTGGGAGAAAGATGTGGTAGTCTGCTTCTGTAAAGATTACAGCCTTGGAAACCCTATGGGGCGGTTCTATTCTGTTCTACAGGGTCACGATGAGTCAGAATCAACTCGAGGGCAGTGGGTTTTTAACAAGATGATATGTGCCTAGGTAATGGGTGGCAGAGCTAAGAAAGGTCTAGACTTAGAGAGGTAGACAAAGTAAGTGTTCAAAGGTTCCCCAGGAATGTATGATTAGATGAACATTGCTTTAGAAAATAACTAATAATCTTTGGTCTCCTTACTGATCACAAATTTCTTATCAGCCACCAAACATGCCCTCCCCAAATCTAAGTGGTTTGCATATCATACCTGTCTATGTAGATGAACACTGTACTTCTGTGGGCAGGGAAATGAATCCCTAAGAGAAACTATGCAGTGATTATAGTAGAAGTGATTCTATAAATTTAATTAACACAGCATCTAAGCCAATTTTGTTTAGCTCTAGGGGACCTGTATAGCCTTGGCCCTTAGTTATCTCTGTTTTCATGTGTGCTTGTATACATCCTGTTTATGCCTACCTTTTCTCACACTACTCTATTTACAAAGCCTTCTCCCACTTCCAGCCAGTCAAAACACCATCCACATTTCTCAGAAGCTACCTTCTCTGTCTTCAATATAGTCTCCTATAATCTATCCTTAGGTGCACAGCATCTCTTCCTCTAAGCTGTTGTGGAATTCTTAGGCCATATTCCTAATAGTTTTTCACATTCTTGGGGGCAGAGACCGTGTTTACATTGCTTCGGGGATCACTCATAGCATTTTGCTGACAGTAGGTGCTCAGTACCTGTTCAGAAATGGAAGAAGGAAGGGAGGGAGAAAAAGGAGGGAAGGAGGGAAGAAAGGCGGAAGGCAGGAAGACCGGAAGGCAGGAAGGCAGAAGGGGCTTTTCTTAAGCTACTTCAAAGGAAAGTGATGACAATGTGGAATCTCAAGGTGAAAAAAAACTTTTATTAATACAACTTGTGGCCTTTCATGGACTCACTATTATCAAAACAGTCCCTAAATGGAATTACTGAATGGAATACTTTTTAAAGAAACATACTCTATCTACTTCTTTTGTTTTACCCACAGCACTCTGAACTCACAGAAAACTTAGTAAATGCTTCCTGAATGAAAGGCAAAATTGTTTCTGAATACAACGTAGGGTACACATGTAGTCCTTTGACTAAAAGGTCTGAAAGCCTGCCTGTCATTGACTTGAGGTGGACAGTCCGTCCTCTCAGTTCCTTCTCATCAGGAAAATGTCAATAGCATGACCCATTCCACCGCAACTCTCTAGATTTTCCTTCGGAAGATCTAGAAAGACCATGACCATAGAACACCATGGACCAAAACTAAACCAAACCCATTGCTGTCGAGTTGATTCCAACTCACAGCGACCCTATAGGACAAAGTAGAACTGCCCCATATGGTTTCCAAGGCTGTAATCTTTACAGAAACAGACTGCCACATCTTTTTCCCAAGGAGCGGCTAGTGGGTTTGAACTGCTGACCTTTCAGTTAGCAGCTGAGCTCTTAATCACTGCACCACGAGGGCTCCTTTTGAACACCAGGGAGAGAATGAAAAGGCTCCCTCAGTGACTGTTGACTAACCATTGAGAGCTCCACAACATAAATAACAACTTACAGTGCTTCCATCCAGTCCAGGCAGCCCAGGATCTCCCTAAGAAACAGACAAAGAAAGGCAGGACACTCAAGAGATGAATAAGTTAAGCCTGTTGTATTCTATAAACAACTGACCCAAGATGCACAGGGATAGGAACGCATTGCTGAAGCCTGGAATCCTCTGTCAAGGTCTTGTGTTTTAAATAATGCATAAATTGGACATATTCAACCATTTATTTTTTTCTCTAAAAAAATCTGGGTGCTAGAAGACACATATTATAGCCTTGGTTGAACAGGATTTCGTATTTTACTTGGATTAATTAATTTTCACCTTTGCTAGGAACTTATCCATTGGAAACTGCTTCTGCAAGCTGGTGATTTTCCTCCTGTTTCTGGAGGAAAGCACAGCTACCTTCCCGTGTTCCTTCATCCCCAGAGAATCGGTGCCCATATGTATACAATGCAAATCAGACATTTCAAGGGAGAATCAACAGAGCATACAGTCTCTGATTACGTTTTAATTACTCTACACCATCTCAAGTCACTGTATGAATCTGTAATATAACCATCTTGTGGAAACTGCTGTGTTCCATTGGATCCAGTGTCTCGTTGATTTTTGGCAAAACCATTTAAACAATGCTTGTTAAGACAATGGCCATACTTTGCTACCTACTACTCTACCCCACTTGGCTTAAGGTAAAAAACCAGTTCTCAGTAGCATGGAAAGAACACTGCCTGGGTTTCAGCTCTTCGGTGAATTGGCTGTGTGACTCTGAGCAAGTCGCATAATCTCAGTATATTTTAGTCTATCTGTAAAATGAGCAATATGAATCCGACAATCACGAGATCCTTTCCAATTCTAACATTCTATCTTCTGCTATGGCATTTATAGCCACAACCGAAACCTGTACCTTCTCCAGTTCTTCAGCTACCCACCCCCATCATCACCTACCAAAGTGATTTGCAATGTCCCTGTCTCTGTGCATGGATGCAAGACAGAATGGTGCCATCAATTAGCGGAGTGGGCTTGCTGTATCTCCCCCCTCAGAGAGCAGGTGGATAGATTCCCATCTGCCACCAGGGCAATGATGGGCTGGCTCCCTTCCCACTCTGCAAGTGAGTAGGGTCAATCATTTGGAGCCACAGTTTACAGAGGCCCAACAGGATACCAGGCAGCATACACCAAGAGTACAGTCACATAGAATATAGAAGGTTCTTGTGAACTCTGGGAAGAGATGAAAGTTTCCAGCCAGCTACAATGCTGATGGGCAATTTTTGCAGCCAGCCAGGGGCCCATCTAGGGTGATGGGCTGGTGTGCAGGGACAAAGAAGGGTGGGGCCTGGATCCTGGGCTGGTGGCCATGCTGAGGTAGGCAGAGACATACATGGCTTCAAACCAAGGTATGCAGACATCAAGGATTCTAAAATAGACAAAAGGTATCTGCCTCCAGGAAATGTCTTAGCTTGTCAAAGAAAATGATACCCATGCAAACTGTTTGTTTGCTGATCTGTCTCCTATTTTTTGGTATAGATCCTACAAAGCAAACATCTTTGACAGTATAGTTGCAAACATTTCTGTCAATGTTTCCACCACAAAAAGTTCCAGATCCTTTTAAATTCAGCTTGGTCTGCTCCTAGTTCTGGAAATGTTTTTACTAGAGGTGGTGTCCAATCCCAGGGAACTGAGCATACAGCCTACTCAGTTGTCTGCTAGAGGCTCTTACCTTCATTCCTTTAAGAGTACCTTGGGCAAGAACAGGATTGCCTTTAGAGCCTTTCTGACCAGGGATACCCTGAGTAAAATAATAAGAAAAATTTGTGAAGAAACGCACACACATATAGTTTTGTTAATAGTACGATATGGTCAATTAGAGGATGAAACAGGAGGAGCCTGAAATTATGTAGCAAAATTGGCTGTGCTAAGGGGCAAAGCAGATCTCCTGAAACGGTGTCCTGTCTCAAAGCAGTACGCCCACTCCCCCGCCCCCAAACTCAGGGGTCTATAAAGAGATGGGGGTTAGAAAATAGGACACTGCATCTTTCAGAGTATTGTTCTGAACATCCACATATAACACACATTATTCATATGCCTACAGCTCATCTGCTCCACAGGTATAAGTCAATGAAAGGGCCCTTATCTAGGACCGAAGTCAGCAAAACTTTTCTGTAAAGAGCCAGAGAGTAAATAATTTAGGCTTTGTGGGCCACATCCAGTCTTTGTCCCATCTTCTTCTTTTTACTTTGCAACCTTTAGAAAATGTAAAAACAGGCCACAGGCCACAAGCCCATAGGCCATAGTGTGTAGACCCCGGTCTAGGAGATATCTACAACACCATCTCTACCTTGTGCTTCTACCAGGCAACTTCATCTTCAACCCTATCTATGAGGCCTGCGTGTCTCATTGTTAACATGAAAAAAAATTCAAAGTACTCCCAACCCCAGTCTTTCAACGAGATTTTTTGTTGTCTCAGTGGCAAATGCTGGCTTATGTCTGCTAGATGTTGTCTTTCTGGGGAAAATCAAAGTCCTTACACCTAAGGGGAAGTCAGTGCTAGTACTGGAGGTAGGGATAAGCTTTTGCGACTGAACTGTTCACTGAATGATCGATTCCTTGAGCTCAGAGAAGGTAAGTGTAATAAAAGAACAAAGTGGCTCCAGAAACACAAACCCGTTTCTTTCCTAACACTGCCTGGTTCCTCTTATTCTTATGGCCACTAACTCTCATCAGAAAAGCTTTAAAGAAGCCAACTAAATGGAGGTCAGCTCAGGATTCAGCAAGGGGTAAGGTTCAGCTTAGTAAAACAATATCCCAGTTCCTACTTAGGCTCTAGGTGAGGTTTACGGACAGGATTAGGTTTCTGCCCTTGTTCTTTGTCTATCTGGGGATGCTGATCACCGCAAGACTTCTTTTCTCTCTCTAGGAGGCAGCATCTCACCGCTTTGCTGAATTCCCAGTCTCTTAACACAGATGTGTTTGTTCTCCTCCCCTGTTGCCATGGCAGTGGTTGGAGGCCTTTGTGACTCACACAGTTCATTCTGTTAGGAACACATCTTTCTCCCCACTCCACCCCTGCAGCATATTGGTTCAGTCCTTAGATGCCAGGGTCCTTTATGCCAATCTGGGGCTTGTGCTTTTTCTGTCTGTCTCACATTCTCACATCTATACCCACATCCACACCCACAACCTGGTCCTTGAAGGGAGTGTTGCTCCTTTTTCAATAAAGCACCAATTGATTCATGAAGCTATGGAATCTGCCTAATGGATAGTGTGACTTCTAGCTAAATAGTCTCATATGAGTATCCTCATTAGTTTAGATTATTTCAATTGAAGTTAAGAATGGGCTTGAATTGTGTTATTTTTCTCTTTCCAGCCACTTGTAAAAGCAGCCTTGAAAGGGTATAGTATCTACTAGAGATCCTTTAGATCCAAATATCTGAGCCCTATCTAGATGAATGGGATTAAATAAAAGTGGTGACACCAGGATCTAATAACTGTCTTATTAATCCCAGAACCAAGGGCTATGATGAGGGGGAAGCAACCTCCACCAGTGTAGAGCTTCTCAGCCTTGTTACTATTGACATTTTGGGCCAGATAATTCTCCTTTTTTGGGGGGGTGTCCCATGGATTGGATTGTAGGATGTTTAGCAGCATCCCTGGCCTCTACCCACTAGATACCAATAGTATACATCCAGTTGTGACAACCAAAAATGTCAATAAAAATTGTTAAATGTTCCCTAGGGGGCAAAACTGCCCTTGGATAAGAACCACTGGTTTAGACTAAGCTTGCCAAGCCCTTTGAGTTCTTGTTAGTGCTTCGATAATCCCACGTAAGTCTTCCAATTACTGCATTTCCCAATATCTTCTGATGTGGGAACATGTCAAATAGCCCAAGCATATACTTTACTCTGAAATTTACTATAGTCTTTAACAATCTTGCCAACTCTAAAAGTATCTTTTTTTAAAAAATCCTAAGTAGTATAACATGTGTACACCCTATTGAACTGGTATTTCTTCTTTAGACTTTTCATGTTAGAGTGTTGCAAGTATAGACTCCTCCACTAGACACAAGGCTATAGTGGCTGCCCCATAGATGCTTAATGAAGTCTCCAGATAGGCAGTAAAAGGGCACACTTGGAGGCAAGCAAAGCCGTTTGACATGATGTGCAAAGATTTGGCAGCGTACAGGTGGTCCAAGAAGCCCAGGGTAGCCATCAGGGCCCGGAAATCCAGCAGCTCCTTGAGTTCCATTACAGCCATCCAGACCAGGTGGGCCTCTGGGCCCTGGCTGTCCAGGGTGGCCCTGTTCAAAGAGAAAAAAGGGATCAAGTCAGCACAGGACTATCAGCTCCACAATGAGAGAAACCAAGTATGCTGTCAAATTTCAGCTCTTTGTTCACTCTCTCAGCCCCAAATATGTGCTCTTATATCTTTCCTTTATACCCCGGTATATATGACTGATGATAGCTCACTGTTATCCCTCCCAAAAGGATCAGTAATAGGATCCAAGCTGAAATTCAAGGGATAAAGCATGAACAGATGGGACACCCAGACTGTTGCAACTTCACCTTCCCTGGGTACAAAGATGTACTAAGATGGGGTTTAGCTGTCTGGTAGCTAAGCTACTACAAATAGGGAGTCATGCCAGGCCTTGGGATTCCTTGGCTCAGACTGGAAACCGGGCAGCCTGGCATGGCTTTCTGTACTGGAAACTCTGCATGAGAAATGGTGCTGGATTTTGGTCAGCAGAACAGAAGCAGTTCCCACAGTACCTCCTCTCCTGGGATTCTAGTCCTAGGAAAGTCGCTCAGTTAAAAAATAAGCAAGTCTTGGAATAACTACACTCACTTTGTCACGATCCCATGTCAGGCTATTGCTTCCGGTAGGGAACTCTATCTTCTCCCCTCCTCCATACTCACTACTAAGGCAGTTGTTTTGCTGGGGAATGAGTAATCATTCTATATAGTTGGTCTGAGTTCAATAGTTGCCAGGGTCAGGCTTCCTTGGTGCATAGAGTCTGCCTTTTTGTATGGTAATATATATGTTTTAGTCTATCAAAGGTGGGTTGTGTGTTGGGTCTGGAGCAAAGAGATGACCTGAAAGAACAGAAATCTAGACTGGTCAATAAAAGGTAGACACCTTTCCCTTTTTAAAGCCAGGTATATATGTTTAATGATTTGAGGAAAACATGCCATGTGTTCAAAAGTTAACTTTGCAAATCACGAGAGCAAGCAACCTTTTGTCAGATACTTCTTGAGAAAATGCTCCATAGAATTCTGTTTCATTCTTATTATAGTTCTACGAGGTAAGGAGACTGTTAACAGAAAAGTGTGAGTCTATGCTGCTTGCTAGAGGTTAACTAGGGGTTGTCTCTCAGCAGGTTAACAGGGATAAGTTAAGGCAAGACAACAGGCTGGCTTAGCACCAGGGATCTTCCTTACTCCTGGGACCTTGCTTTTCTTTTATACCAAAAACTTTGCCTGGAGTCTTACCCTTTGATGCCCACAGTTTTTACTTTAGTCTGATACGTCTCTAGCTTTCTTGCCTGCAGGGCTCCATAGGTACCTGTTTAATCTTTCCTACCTTACCTGAATTCTCTGGAATTAACTGTTGACTTCTGACTTATACTCTTTCCTGCAAACACTGTGGGATGGCGGATAAATCATGTTTTGAGCCAGTCAGACTTGTGTTCCAATTTCAGCTATGCACTCCCTAGCCTGAGCCTCAGTTTCCTCATCTGTAAACTTGAGGTGAATAATATCTACCTCATAGGGTTGTTGTCAACATTAAAAATGAATAAGGCCTACCTCACTGGGTTATTGTTAAAATTAAATGAGATTAGATTTACTAAATGGTAAGTCTTCTTCTCCTAGACAAATCAGTAAGGAGAAACCACAGGGCTGAGTTCTACCTCTCTCAACTCTGTATCACAGCATTTCTAGTCCATTCCCTTTTCTGGTCATAGCTAATGATTTCACATATGTATGTGCCAGCTCTCCAAGAGAGTGTAACTCTTCGAGGGAGGAAACCATGGTTCTATATAGCTAGAAGGGACTGAGCACACAGAATAGGAAGATCTGCTGTATTCCCAAAAAGCAATGTTCCTCAGAACCCAGATTCAAAGGAAACATTTCCATTTGGTGTGTGGTACATGTTCACTTTGAGGACATAAATGTGGTATGTTCGTTTACAAGTCTCTAGGCAGGGAAATGTTTGAGATTGACTCCACGGGAAAAGCTAAACATCAAATGTAAAGGACAAGTTGAAAACCTCTGCTCCCATTTATTTGAACGAAAACAATTGATAAACACACATGTCTTGCAGATACCAACAGCCCCAACTCACAGCTGTGATATCATTAAAAACCACAGCTCTATCATCCCTGGTCTACGTTGTTCTAATGTTGAGTATCTTGACGAATCTTATTTGTTCATTCTCGCAAATGGCTATTGCACCCCTTAGTGCAAAGACTTAGATTATCATAAAATGACTATTCACCCATTCATGTTGAGACTGTCTATATGAGAGCAAAAATAGAGTTTTAGGACCAGAACAAGTGACACATATGTTAATGATCACCTAATATTAAGAGGGGAACCAGATCTGTGCAGTGATCCAGATTAGTAAGATGTGTTGGGAAAGCTGTTGGTTTCAGCCAAATTGCTTAATAAGCGCTGCTAAAAGTTGAACAAAGTAATTAGTCTGACTGGGCCTAGGGTGTCTGTGTTTTCGTCTGTCAGAAGGAGTCTTGCCAGTCTGAAAACTATTGCTTTATAGGCACTAGGGGTTGAAATCAGACCCCAAAATATTGTTAGAGCTCCTACTATATGCTCCGGGGCTATGGTGGTTCAGTGGTAGAATTCTTGCCTTCCATGTGGGAGACCCAGGTTCGATTTCTGGCCAATGCACCTCAGGCACAGCCACCACTGATCTGTTAGCGGAGGCTTGTGTGTTGCTATGATGCTGAACAGGCCTCAGCAGAGCTTCCAGATTAAGACAGATTAGAAAGAAAGGCCTGACAATCTACTTCCAAAAATCAGTCAATGAAAACCCTATGGATCACAATGGTTGGATCCTGTTGTGCATGGGGTCTCCATGAGTTGAGGGCCAACTCAATGGCAGCTAATAACAACTATATAACAAGTTCAATTCTAGGAGTTTTGGAGCCTCTGAGAGTAGCAGAAGGCATATAGTCTGTGCTTTCAAGGAGCTAGTATCCTAGTTGGGGATATAAGACTATTACACAAGACAATCAATAAATACCATGAGGCCATATGTGATGTGGAGCTGGATGGTGTGGTACAGACAGCAAAGGTTCCTGGGAGATTAGAGATGGAAGAGAGAGGGAAGCATTGAACAGAAGGTGCTCAATACATATGTCTTGAATAGCTGGAAGACAGGGAAGGAAGGAGGGAGATGGATTTCATAGAGGAAGTCAAGCTTGGAGCCTGAAGCTATAGCAATCAAAAATCAAAAGAAAACACATACAACCTTTGGTCAAAGGATGGATCAAGGGGGAGGGGACTTCTATAGGGAGGAGCTAGCTCATTTGGAGGAGTCTGGGCAGCTGAAACTCATTCTACCAGGCAATGAAGCCCCCAAAAGAAGTGATCAATTCCTGCAAGCTCTAGGACTTTCCTGGCCACAAGTTGGAGGCAGTAGTGTCCAGCTGGACTCTGGGGCAGGTTCCAGTTCAGAATTGGAAACAGCCTCTGCCTGACAGGATTCACTTCCCTCCAGCACCCACTAAAAAGCGACTGCAGGAGGAAGGGCACACTCCTGCTGCAAGCTCCAAATCTCCCACTCATCTCCAGCAAAGCCAGATCCACAGGATGAATGGAAGAGGCTGCCTCCAGTTTGATAGCTTCCCTCACCCACTGGCTCCCAGATGACACCCACTCTGAGGGGAAACTCTGGCCAAAGTGGCCAGAGGAACACAGCCATGAGAAAATGCCAGGGATGCCATAAAAGGGCAGCCAAACCATCCACTTACTTCTCCACTGGCTCATTTCTCGGCATTTCGAAGACTCTGCAGTTAAATAAATCTGACAGCTGACTTGTTGAATAAATCTGACAGTGGCTTTGTTGATACATGTAACAAATATAAGGTAAGTGAGACTTCTATTCTCTAAACCCATAAATGTCTACTAGATTTGGGAAGAAAATGGATCGAATGATAATATCTTTGAGGGCAGAGCTATATGCTTCCTCTGTATCCCCCATAGTAGAGTGCTAGCACATATCAGGTGTTTAAGAAATACATATAGGTTGGCACAAAGAGATTTGAACCCCCTTCCTTGATACTAGATGAGAAGTCTAGGGCTTACTAAACTGTACTTTGATGGGGTTCAGAAGAACCCTTCAGAGGTTGTGGGAAAGATAAAATCAAGCTCTAAGGACTTCCCTGAAACAAAGGAGCTCCACTTTTTTTCTGTTTTATATGCTGAGCTTCCACATGATTCTGTTCTTTTAAACAAGATTCGAAAACCACTGCTATAGACAAACACAGTCTAGATTAAGAATTAACTATAAAGAGAAGTGGAAAGGGACATAACTAAAAAGTGATAGCCAGCAAGTTCCAAATATTCTATTTCAAAGGCTGGCGAAATGTTACCGTGGAATCTCCAGAGTGGAACAATTAGGGATATAGGACAGAAATGGAGAAACTAAGGGATTGAGTCAGATGGAATGGGAAAAGGAGTTGTCGGGTGCCATCTTTAGAGTACTCACTTTGTCAAAACTAAAGGGAAATACACTCTAAAATGAGATGGTGCTGAAGAGGAAATATTACTGGAAGGAAATGTACCAAGATGTCACTAATGGTTGTCTGGATGGTATAATTATAAGTAATTTTCCTTCCTTGTACTTTCATGTACCTTCTTAATTCTCCTATAATGGGCATGTAATTGTTTTCAAGTAGAATAAAATGTTATTATTATTTTTTCATTTTAGAAAAGAAAGAAAAACATTAAGGCCAAAGAGCAGGAGATGAGACGGTAGAAGCAGACCATGTTTGGCTTTGGACAGAGTGTGTAGTCTACTGCCTTGTCTTCACGTAACATGGATCCACTGGGAGCTAACATGTGCTCAGCCCTGTACACCGTCCAGCAGGCACAGAAGAATGTGGCTCCTGTCTTCAAAGGCCTCACTATCTAATTTGGAAGCCTGTGAAATGACTACATATATTTTGTCCCCATTGTATTATCTGTGCCTGGCACAGTGTGGGACACAGAGTAAGCACTCAGTAAATGTTTGTTGAAAGAATAGATGAGTGAAGCACATGAGAAATTGCCCAGATTATAAGACAGAATAGACATTAAGTTCTACATTCCATGGCACAGAATGCTGTATGTATAAGAATGTGTGTGTGTGTGTGCATAAAACAGGGCTTGGCTGGAACACAACAGGAGAAAACAAAGTCTTGAAAGTCTTTTACTACCTTTCTGTCTTCCTTCTCTCAGCATTCCCCTTTCATGCAATGCCCTCATGGGTCCCTTGGAGATCCAGGCTCTCATGTGGCATTGTCTCTGCACTTCAGAACCAGGTCCTCATCCCCAACCAAAGCTCCCCCCAACCCACAAGACATAATTAATTTTGCTAAGTTATCAGTGGTTTCTTATGGCTGCTCACGTCCCCTCAGCCCCCAACTATCTGATTTAAGGCTGCCTATACCTTAATCTGGAGCCCTAGTGGTGCAGCGGTTAAGAGCTCAGCTGCTAACCAAGGGTCGGCAGTTCAAGTCTACCAGCCCCTCCTTGGAAACCCTATGGGGCAGTTCTACTCTGTGCTATAGGGTTGCTGTGAGTTGGAATCAACTTGACAGCAATGGGTTTGGTTTGGTACCTTAATCCAAGTGTGTGTGATCACTGCCCTTCAAATGTCACCATGTATATCACTTGACGCCAAGCATGCTTGCATGAGACGGCCTGTGGTTAAGGCCAAAGTTCTTGAGCTAGGAGGCAGAGCCTAGAAGATACTAAAAATGCCTCTGTGGACACACTCACCGGAATCCCATTGATGCCAAGAAAGCCAGGAACTCCCATGGGACCCTAAAGAAAGGGGTAGGGAAAGGAATATAAGAAACAATCCAGCTGATTTCCATTAGATTCAGTGTGTTTGTTCCTGTGATTCAATGACCTAAGTTGTTAAGAAGTGCTTTGTACCCCCCTCCCGACATGGTATTGTGTTGTTCCCTACTCCAGTTCCCAAATGATCATTTGCCTCTACCTGTGGTCTTCGGTAGGTCTGTTTTCTGAGACCAGGTCTTGTCTTAGGCAGGGAACATGAAGAGCTGCTAAACTCAGCCAGCCAGCCACCACAATATTATCCATCTCCATCTCCCTTCTTGCAGCTCTTTCCCTATACTCATGGCCCAGATTGCTTCTAAGCATTCTGAACCCTTGCTTTCCAGTCTCTTTGCTTGGATTCTTGATCTCTACTACCCAGATGAGACTTCTGACCCATGCCTGGTTTAAACCCACATGACTTACCACCACAGTGAGCCCATTTGTTTAACAAGTAGGTAAAACATTCACTTCATGGCTTTGCCTACCATGGGAGTCGCTCCCCAAATGGGCAAACATTAGCAGCACATCACCCAGCCCATCTCTTATTAAAGCATGTAGCCTGGTACCAAAGTTTTCAGGAATAGTATTATTTCCATAAATGAGTAGAACTGAGATTTAGCACACGTGTGTCCCATGCATCAAAGGAAAATTAAGCTTTGGTGTACTTACCTTATCTCCTTTTTCTCCATATGGTCCCAGAGAGCCCGGGGAGCCCCTTTCTCCTTTCAACCCTGATAAACCAATAGGGCCAGCAAATCCTTGAGGACCTGTTGGACCTTGAATTCCAATTGGTCCAGGTCGCCCCTGAAATGGACAGAAGAAGTGCAGTTGGTCAATAGTGGACTTCACATCAATATTTCCAATTTTCCCATGCACAAAGAACACTGTCATCACTTCACTAAATAATTTTGGCTTAGAGATCTGTGAGTCATGCCAAAGTTCCAGACATGTATCAGAAAAGGCTATTTTAGGGGCTGCTAAGCTTATTTGGCTAGAACACATTTTATAAGCACATTTAATAAGATTCATGTGCACCAAGATCCTTCAACTTTGTACTTCTTAGGAGATTAGTTATTCGGACTGGATGATGATGTCCTCTTCCTAGTTAATGCCAGGCCATCCATCAGATTGTCAAAATAGTGAACAAACAGGACACTGGAGAGCATCATGGCATTTTATAACTCGTGTCCAAATGGCTAACCATATGCTTGCAGTGAAGCCCAGAAAAGGCTACACCTAAAGAACACTGCCCCAGGGGCCCAGAGAGGGGAGAATCCAGAAACCCACGAGCTGACTCTTTGGTGGACCCCATCAATACACCTGGAAACAGACATTCACAGGGCACACACACACACACATACAAACAGTCACATATATACACACACCTATTGTTTATTTGCTCTCCTTCTCTATCCTTCTCTCTTTCTCTTTACCCCCCTCCCACATCTATACAATTTGAATGTGTAAAATATAAGGAGCCTGAGAGTATCCATTAAGTATCAATTATGATAGCAAGAGGGAGCAGCCTGAGATTTTGAAAGCCCTGGTTGTAAAGTGTCAGGTAACAATTAAGTCTGAGAGTTCAGGCTGACATTTTAAAGCCCACTGAGACAGTGAATTAACTCCAGTGGGTGTGACAGAGGCAGACTAGTCTATCATTTAGAACAAATCCCAGTAGGGACGAATTTTTCTTGGCAGAAAAATGAAAACCATTAGTAATGTGCATTACCTCTCAGAGACCACAACACTATCGCAGGTAGAAAGCCTATTTTCATAAATGCTTCCTATCTCTACCTCTCGGCCCCTTTCCTGTCTGTCCCCAATCTCCTACAGATCTGTGAAAAACTCCAAAGAAAGCACATTAAATATGCCCTTTAATATTCATTCACCTTCACGGTTTACATTTTTAAAAAGTTGAAAGCAGAACAGATGCTTTATGCGGTAGCTAGAGTCACACATCAATGGGCTCAAACATAGCAACGATTGGGAGGACCAGGCAGTATTTCGTTCTGTTGTACACAGGGTCGCTACAAGCAGGAAACAACTTGATGGCACCTAACAACAGTCACATACTATACATGCAAGTGGCCACCAGGTCCACGAAGACCTAGGACTCTTGCAAAGAAGTAAGAGATGCTCGGCCCAAGGAGATGTAATTCTCTGGGGCAACACCTACCACTCAACCTTCCCCAACACCCAACCTGCGGCCTACAGACTGCAGGCTGCAAACGGTTTAACAGGGCTTCCTTCTGGGAAGTAGGAATGACGGAAGTGGGGAGTGAGCTCTTACTCTTGACACTGTTAGTGCACATTTTGTTTACAATGATTCTGTTATTATTCATGTAATTTTTACAGAAGTCAATCTATAGAAAGAAACATATGAAAAAGAGAAAGAACAAGACTTTTAAATAGTGCTGGGGTGCTGTCGAGGGTTAGTGAAAACGTCTAAAATGTGGGCCTAGCTTTCAAAACTAATGTTTACAAAATGACAGCAAACAGTACAAGTCCAGAACAGCCCATAAGTGCCGCAGGAACACAAAGGAAGGGATGGCCATGGAGGGTTTGTGGAATGCTGACTTTTTGTCCATGGCTGGTGGGGAGGCGGAGTCACGGGCCCGATTGGAGATGCGTAGTGGAAAGTTGAAGACTTGATGTGGTAGGAAGTAGGGAACCCGTAGAGGTTTGGGAACAGGGGTGCAACGTGGGGAAAGCACTGTTTCAGGGCTGAAACTCATCCACAAGCATTCAGGAGAACATGTGTGTGTCAGCATGAGGCCAGGGCAGCCTGCCTGAGGCTGGAACAAGGGAGGCAGATAAAAACCAGCTGTTGGGGAGGAGGGGCCTGCTCAGTGGGCAGATGAGGGGCAGGAGGGGGTTGCTGAGGCCATGTTATTTCTAGAAGAGAGGATCCAAATCTGAGCCCTGCCAAAAGTTTTCCCGCATCAAAGGAGGGGGTGGGGAGCGTGATAAACCATTTAACAGCTACTGAGAGAGCGGATTGTGGGGTGGCCCAATTCCCATTCTGCTCACAACACCAGAGGAGCGTGAGTAGTGCCCGGGGTGGGAACAGGGAGGGGCTGGAACACTCCAGCTCTGGTCCCTCGCCTTTGAGAGCACATTCTGAGAAAGGGTAAGCAAGGAGACTTAGAAGTGAGGCAATTCTAGGGCTGGACTAAATAGGAAACCTGATTACATCCAGAAAAGGCAGGGTTCCGCGGCCTGCTTCCTTTCTCTTGGCTGGTGTGGTGGTGGTGGTGGTGGAGGTGGTGGTAGTGGGGAGCATGTTGAATTTGCCACACGGTCTCACAGCAGACTCTTCCGTTCCAGCCACAGAGCTTAAAGTGAGTCTCTTAATAACTCATGGATATTTTTTTTTAAATTCTAACTCTTTTCCCAAAGGTGCACTTGAAAGAGTGGGTGCCCCTTGGAGGAACGTGTACTTCTAGGCTGGCCACAGGTGTTTGGGTTGGTGGACATGTCAGCGGCCTGGCTAGAAACCCCTGGGACTGACCGAAAGGCCAGAAGCAAGGCCTGTGGGATGTCTCGAGGCCTCTGAGGCACTGCTGGCCCAGAACTGCCTCCTCAGCATGGTTCCAAGCCCATTTGGATCCTGCAGTCACAGGATATGAGAGAAGGATACGAAGTCCTTTCATACAGTGGCACAGAGCACCGCTAATAAATGAAAATGGCAAAGGGGTTGTGGGTTGTTTTGCCAGCCATCTCTAGATCTGCTTACTCTGTGCTTATAGCTGTGTGAACTTTTTTCCCTTGTCTCCATGCACAGGGTTTCTGTCTCAGCACCCAGAGTATTGCTGCAGCTTAATACTAAATCAATGATGACCTGCTTTTTTTTTTTCCCTCCAAAGAAGCAACCGGTGACACTTTTCATAATGGCCAGCAGAGGTCAGTGTGAGAACATAGAGGCTACAGACAAGCAGGTGGATGGGTGGGCCTCTCCCATCACGGAGAGAAAGAAATCAAACCAGTGTCAGCGAAGTCACAGAATGTGTGAGCAGGTAGGGCTCTTCTTAGAGATTGTCCCATCCAGGCTTTATTTTAGACATGGGAATAAAAAAGAGGCCGAGAGAGGAGGAAGGAATTGGTTAGGTCACATAGGTAGTGAGGAATGGTGTGGGACTCAAATCAGGCAGCTTGCTGCTAGCACCGGGCTGTTTCTCTGTTTGCCAGTGTCAGATGTCTTAGGGGGTCCTCAAGGCAACCTCCCCAACCTGGGTGCACCCCTGGGAGTACCCCCATCAGCAGGCTGCAGTAGCCAGATGCTCACACATCATTTCTCTTTCCCTAACCTTGATCATTTCACAGAACCAATCTGAAACACTATCACTGTTTGGACTGCTAGCAGAATTTCAATGGGCTTGGACCAATGCCCTGCCCTGATACATGTCATTTATTTTGGCAAATAGACCCAGACAGGGCAGAAGGGACTCCTCTAAGTCTTTCCAACAAGCTATCCTGCCGCCATCTGCTCGGGACTTTAAATATGCACATCAGGGTCTAATTCTCAAGGGAATGAGCTGGGGTTTGTGCTTAAGGCCAAGAGCTGCAGGTTCGAAATTGTAGCCCAGGCTGCCTGCCTCTTGTTGACCACAGTAGGTTGGGGTCAGTATGGAGTTTAAGGTCACCTATGATCAGATCACACCCACAACCCCAGCCCCAGATGAATGAGAAAGAAATGGCCTGTATATAAAGTAGTACATATATGCAGAAATGGCATCTAAGAATCTTAAAAGCACAGACATCAGACTAGGTAGGAATATGAAACTGGTGGAAGGGCTAACTTTTCATTGCTGACTCCTTTTCATACTTTCCTCAAGGTTCCAGTATCCTTTTCTCATAAAGTTAAAATTTATTTGTTCCTAAGGAAGAACCTGAAACTCATTCTCACTGAGGCATAAATGACTAACAACAGCTTAGAGCACTACTTCTCTAAAGGGGATTTGTATTTTAAAGGTGAGCAAAGCTTTAAGCTAAGGGATGAAAATGATATTTATGAAGCAAGGAAAGGGGCTTCCGAAGGCTCTAGCTATAACCCAGGAGGTGATGCAGTGCTGTTGGGTGGTATCATGGTTCAGGCCCTGGAGTCAGCCCAACCTGGAGGCAAATTTTGTCACTGCCACTTAACAGTTGTGTGACATTGGACAAGTGTCTTAATCACCAGGGGTTCAGCGGGGACAACAGTAGTTCTTGTATAGGATTACTGTGAGCATTTAAGTGAGTCAATGAATGTAAAACACCTGGCAGATAACACTAAAGTCAGAAACTCAGGAGTCCTCCATGACCTCCCCCGACCCCTTCCTTTATCTCCCACATCCAATCCATCAGCAAGGACTGTCAATTCTGTCTCCAAATATATCTTAAACATGTTGCTATGAGTTGGCTATATCCATGGCCTTATTTCAGGTCTTTCTCACCTCTCCCCTAGAGTGATACCACAGCTTCCTAACTGGTCTGCCATCCTCTAATCTTGCTTTACTCTCGCCTAGCATCCTGCCCCAGGGCCTTTGAACATGCTGTTCCCACTCTACTCTCCTGGCTAGCCCCTATTCATTCTCCAGGCCCCAATCAAGATATCAGCTTCTTTTCAGGGGACATCTAGGTCAACTGGCATAACAAAGCTTATTAAGAAACTGTTCTGCATCCTCCTTTGGTGAGTGGCGTCTGGGGCCTTAAAAGCTAGTGAGCTGCCATCTAAGATGCATCATGTTTTGTTTGCAAAGATACACACACCCACCCCATTGGCTAATTGAAACTTTTGGAAAGACACCTCCTAGAGTGCTGAAGTT